TTATTATAAAAGTATGCATGTTTAACAGGAGTGATTTAGTTTCATCGGATTGGATTTTTAAACTTCCTTCTGGAATTGTATAGAATGTAGAAGAATGTAGGTGGGTTTTAGTTTTACATTACACATATAACCATCTGAGAATGAAACATTTCTTTGAGTGGATGGAACATTATCTCTTCTCAAATAGTAGGTATTTGTGAAGTACTTTCAAAGATATACATACTATCAAGGAACAAAGAGTTTTTTATAGGCTTTTTGGTACCTGTACCAGTGCTTGAACTCAAGGCCTCTTGGCTTTCTTATTTGTTTCTAGTGCTCTACCACTTAAACTGTGCCTTTAGTGCAACATTTTGCTGATTAATTGGATGTAGAGTCTCACAAACTTTTCTGCTCAGGCTGGCTTCAAATCTTAGTTCTCAAGGTCTCAGCTTCCTGAGTAGTTAGGATTACTGGCATGAGCCCCAAGGTTTAAAAAAAAAAATCTTCAGCAAAATATCCTGGCCTTTGAAATTAGGAATACTTATTTATTTATTTATTTATTTATTTTGGGTCCGGTTGTGGGGCCTGAACTCTGGGCCTGGGCGCTGTCCCTCAGCTCTTCAGCTCAAGGCTAGCGCTCTACCACTTGAGCCACAGCACCACTTCCAGCTTTTTTCTTTTTGCTTATGTGGTGCTGGGGAATCGAACCCAGGGCCTCATGCATTGCAAGGCAAGCGCTCTACCACTGAACCACCTTCCCAGCCCCGAAATTAGGAATATTTATATAAAACCAAAATATGAATCTGTATCACAGAAAGAATTCCGTAGTGTTGCTAACAATCACTATTCATTATGATATCACTTAACATCAGAGAAAAACCCTGTATTCAGAATTTATTGAGAAATTGAGTAAAGACAGTGACCTAATTTCATTTATTATAATTAGTATTTTAAAACTAATGATGTAGCTGTTTATGACTTTCTATCTGACCATAAATCTATTACAAGCAGGAACAGCAGTATTTTAATTTTTTTTTTTTTTTTTGTCAATCCTGGGGCTTGAACTCAGGGCCTGGGCATTGCCCCTGACCTTTGTTTTGCTTAAAGCTAGCACTCTAGCTCTTGAGCCACAGCACCACTTCTAGCTTTTTCTGTTTATATGGTACTGAGGAATCAAACTTTTATATATATATTTATTTATTTATTCATATATATATATATATATATATATATATATATATATATATGGGTTTATCTGATTGGATTTTGAAGCTTCCTTCTAGAATTGTATAGAATGTAGGTGGGCTTTTGTTTTACATTACACTTACTGCCATCAGACAATAAAACATTTAAATATATACCTGTATATATACACACTTATATACAAATATATAATCATCCTTCAACCTGATAAACTTATTTGTAAGTAAATACTAATTTTATTAGAGTATATCATTTTGTATTTCAGTTTTTTTCTAAATTATTTTTTTTGTTGTTGTTGTTTCAGTTACATGTGGTTTAATTCATGCCTTATCAAGGTAATATATTTAACAAAGTTTCTAAATCTTCTGAGTGTTAAAAAAGTCTTCTGATTTTGGGGGAACTTTGTTCTGTTGTTCATTAAACACTTTCAATGGAAACATTCAAGCCAAAGGATGGGAGTATTTGGGGCAGATTTCTTCCCAAAAATGCCATCTGGAAACTTTCCCAGTTAAATTGGTCATGAAAGCAACTATGGAATTTATCTGAAAATTTTATCCATTTAAATCATAGTTGGCAACTTTGCTATATTGCTTGGTTACCCAGGTTAGTGCTACATTAGCAGAAATCATTTACCAGGCCAAACTCAGTGTTTTATGCCTGTAATCCCAGCTCTTTGGGGGGCAGAGATCAGGAGGATTATGATTGAAAACCAGCTAAGCAAAAAAGTTAGTGAGACCCTTATATTAACCAACAAGTTGGACATTGTGGCATATACTGAGGATCCAGCTTCATAGGGAGGCCATTGGTAGCAGAGTCACAATCTAAGGCCAGCCCTGGGAAAAATGCAAAGCCTTACCTGAAAAATAACTAAAGCAAAACAGGACTGAGGGTTTGACTCAAGTTGTAGAAGACCTACGTAACTTGCATGTGGCCCTGAGTTCAAACTCAATACCTCCTGCTGGTAGTTGTACTCTAGCCTGCCTTTTTGCTCAAGTCTATTACTCTACTAGAGCCACTCCTCCATTTTCAGCTTTTTGCTGGTTAATCAGATAAGAGTCTCAGATTTGCTGCCCAGATTGGCTTCAAACTATGATCCTGTCTTTCAACATATTGAGTAGCTAGGACAGATGTGAGCCACCAGAACCCAGCTGATCACAAATCTTATTATAGGAAGTTATACTATTGAAGATGTTAGATTGCACAACAAAACATATAATGTTAGATTAACATTTTTAAAAGCTTGAAAGGAAGAGCCAGGCTGGCTGGTGGTGCTTACCTGTAATTAATCTCAGCAACTTGGGAGGTCAGCTAGGAAGCATTTACCTCTTGGCTAAGATTGTTTATTGGTTTTAGTCAGTAGTGATATGGGAAGTTGTCACTTCACTGATTAAAAATTTTAATAAGAATTTCAATCAAGAAGTATATGTAGTTCTCATCAGAATATACAGCCAGAAGCTGGGCACTGATGGCTCACATCTGTTAATCCTAGCTACCCTGGAGGCTGAGATATGAAAGATTGTGATTCATGCCCAGGCTGGGCAGAAAAGTTCACTAGATGCCATCTCCAAATAACTAGCAGAAAGTAGAGCTGGAGGCATGGCTTAGTGGTAGAATACCAAATTAGTCCCAGACCCTGAGTTCAAACCCCAGTAACACCATAAAACAAAAAGATTGAAGCCAGTTACCTTAACTGCTTTGTTGGTTTTGTGATTTTTTTTTCATATCAAATACTTGAATATTTTCCTGTATTCTAAAGGTACTTTAATGTCATTGAATTCTTTATACTTTTAGAGAATTCTAGTAACCTGTTTGAGTTTAATGAATTCTGACCTTCTATATTCTTCCTGTCTAATTTTGTGATATCATATTAGCTTTAGTTAAATCCTGTCATTCAAATTTTACTTAGCTCTGGGAATAATTTCTTAACTTATTCTGATGGTTTTGGATATCTAATATTTTTCCAATTTTTGCTGTATTTTAGTCTACTAATGACCTTCCTCTCCTCCCTCTTCCTCTTCCTCTTTCCCTCCCCTACTCTTTTTTTTTTTTTTTTTTTGAGGAGGGCTAAATTTTTACAAGGAAAGCTAAAGTTATTTTAATTTTTAAGGGAAAAATAAGGAACCCTAAAAATCAACAGGAGAGCTATTAAAATCTATTTAAAATGTAACTGCAATGGTCTGAGATATAGGCTCAGTGGTAAAGTGTTTTCCTAGCAAGGGCAAAGTTATGGGTTTGCTCTCCAGTACTAGGAAAGAGAAGGGAAGGAGGGAGGGAGGGAAAGAGGGAGGGGAGGAAGGAAGGAAACCTGCTTCCCAGCACCATTGGTTCAGACCTGTCATTCTAGCTTCTCGGGAGACTGAGATCTAAGGGTTGCTGTTCAAAGCCAACTCAGATAGAAAAGACCATGAAACTATGTTCAGTTAACTACCCCCAAAAAAGCCAAAAGTGAAGCTGTGGCTTAAGTGGTAGAGCACTAGCCTTGAGCAAAAAAGCTTTGGGATGGCACTCAAGCCCTGATTTCAAAAAACAAAAAACCTAGCCAGGCGCTGGTGGCTCACGCCTGTAATCCTAGCTACTCAGGAGGCTGAGATCTGAGGATCGCGATTCAAAGCCAGCCCGGGCAGGAGAGACCGTGAGACTCCTATCTCCAATAAACCACCAGAAAACCGGAAGTGGCACTGTAGCTCAAGTGGTAGAGCCCTCGCCTTGAGCTGAAGAGCTGAGGGACAGCGCCCAGGCCCAGAGTTCAAGCCCCACGACCGACAAAAAAAAAAAATCATGAGTCAAGATAAAAGAATAAAGATTTATATGAAGACTTTAATAGATTTCCCCCCGTGATTATGTATGTCAGATTAGTATACAGTTTCTCCAGACCCTGTTAGGTTTTTGTCAGAATCCCAATAACACTTCTTTTTGGAAGAATAAGGAAAAGGATGATAATATATGCCAAAAATAAAAAGATTTATAACTAAATTTGTTCGAAGAGAATTGTATTCATTTCCTTATGTAACCGTAACCCCTCTACATATCACTTTTACAATACAAAAAAAACTAATGACTTTAAAAATGCCAATAAATTGTTTAAAAGTAAGGGCACGCTGGGCTCCACTGGTTCACACCTGTAATCCTAGCTACTCAGAGGCTGAGATCTGAAGGTGAAGGTTTGAAGCTAGCCTGGACAGAAAAGTCCATGAGATTCTTACCTCTAATTACTCCTCCCCCCATCTGCACACACACACACACACACACACACACACGCACGCACGCACGCACACACACAAAGCCAAAATTGGAGTTGTGGTGCAAGTGGTAGTGCACTAGCTTAAGCACAAATGTTCAGGAACAGCGCCCAGGACTTGAGGTCAAGCCCCAGGACCAGCACACGCACACAAAAGTAATAACGTGTATGTGTGTGTGTGCGTGCGTGCGTGTGTGTGTGTGTGTGTGTGTGTGTGTGTGTGTGTGTGTGTCTCCGTGTCCCAATACTGACTTGAATTCAAGCCCTAGGACTAGCCCACACACAAAAAATTAATGACATGTGTATGCATGTGTGTTTGTAGAGCTGATTGCTTAGCAAACACAATGCCTTATGTTCAAGCCCTACTACCACAAAAGATGGAAAAATTCAAATTATTCTGCTGTATAGTTTTCAGCATTTTACTTAAATACCAGAAAGATGGTACTGATGAACAGTCAAAATTATATGTAGGTTTTTTTCCCCCCAAAACCATTAATTGTTACTAGTTCAAAAACTTTATTTAAAATATGGTGAATTAAGAACAAAACTATTAATTATTGGGTGCTTTTTCTTCTACTAGAAGTTGAAGATTTGTTTTCTTCACTTAAACACATCCAACATACCCTGGTAGATTCTCAGAGCCAGGAGGATATTTCTCTTCTTTTACAACTTGTACAAAATAAAGATTTCCAGAATGCATTTAAGATACACAATGCTGTCACAGTACATATGAACAAGGCCAGCCCTCCATTTCCTCTTATCTCCAATGCTCAAGATCTTGCACAAGAGGTATGTATTCTGAATATCATACTGACATCTATAAGGTAACTATTACTACTAATAAGACAATGTTATTGGAAAATATTGGTGTGGCTATAAGGTTACTGTAGATCATATGCTAAGAATTTATTATGATACAAAATTTTACTTAAATATATTCTTAGTTCAATCAGCTCTATTTAATGAAAAGTTAATATTTACATAATTTATGTTTAAATGGCCAAAAACTTCAGTTACTAGAGGTAAAGTTTTTAAGTCTTTTCCCCTATAAAATCCAGATTATTAATTTTAATGTACTGCTAGAGATTCTTTTCACATATTGAATTTTAAGTTCTATATTCTGATATTGGTTGATATTTAGTGTTTAAAGGTTTAGACTACAAACATTTTTTTATTGTGAAAATACTGTACAGAGGAGTTACAATTACATGGGCAAGATAATGAGTACATTTCTTATCAAGCATTGTAGCCTCCTCCTTTGTTTCCTCTTCCCATCTTCCCCCGCCCACCCACCCAATCCCTGTAGACTACAAACATTTTAAACTGAAAAAATTTAAAGGTTTCAAGTTGGATTTTCTATCATTATTACAATATTTTAAAACAATAAGTCTACAAACCTATGAAGGAAATGTATTACAACAAATCTACATACAAGACAGAAAATAGACTGCAAGTGTAGACTTATAGGTTTGCAAATACATTCCAGATTGGCAGAGTGATACCAAAGACAGATGTTTTCCTGATTGAGATGCCTGATATGGCAAAGATTCTACATAAGATTCTACACAAGAGTAGCAAAGAAAAGTCTGGTGTTACAAGAACTTAGGATCCCCAGTGATCCAAGGACCTGTCCCTAGAGAGGAAACTGCACCCAAAAGAACTTAAAAGTTGCTAATTGAAACCACCATTCCTTGAGAACATCTTATTGAAATTAATTGTACAAGGTCTTTCCATGTAGCCCAGCCTACCTTCAAATTCACTGTGTAACCCAGACTAACCTCAAACTTGATCCTCTTGTCTCAGTCCCACACTTCATCAAATACTGGTTTACACCCTGAACCCAAGATAACAAGATTGAAAATTGTGGGGGGAAAGGTACATTATAAACTTTACCTCATAATTTTCTTCAATATGTTTCTCTTTTTTTTGTCAACAAGGGAAAATTCATTTCCACAAAGTGTGCAACATCAGCCAATCATGGGGCAAGCAAAAACACCTTCAGTATTTTTCTTATAAAAAATTTTTGCCGTGAAAGCATGATACTTTACATAGGTTCTGTTGATATTTCCTATAACCTAGGGAGCATTGTCTTTGTTTTTATTTCCTAGGTACAAACTGTTTTGAAGCCAATCCACCAGAAGGAAGGACAAGAATTAGCTGCTTTGCTGAATGCTCCACATATTCAGGTAGAAAATGGACAGAGTGTTATATATGTGGTTTTTCCAGCATTTATCTCTCAAAAAATAAATAAAAAGTCAAAGGTCATAAGATCTCAGATTGTGGTTCCAAGCTAACTCAGGCAGAAAAGTCTATGAAACTCTTCTCTTAGACTAACCCCCAAAAGCCCGAGTGATAGAGCTCTAGCCCTGATCAAAAAAGCTGAGGGACAGCACTCAGGCCCTGAGTTCAAACCCCAGGACCAACACACACACACACACACGCACACACACACGCACGCACACACGCACGCACACACGCAGAGGATTGGAAGACCTCAGATATTATATAGTTAGTCTTGATGTTTACAGCCCCCTCTACACAATATTATTTGGGAGCTATAAATTTTCATATATAAAATTTAAATTATTTTAACAATTTTATGTAGTATTCATTTTAACATCATAATCCATTTCAGATTATGCCTTGATAAATATAACAGAAGATAGCTCCAAACTATACAACACCGAATTTGTACATAAGTAGGAAGGTTTGAAAACATTATCTTGATATACAACAAATTGTATCTCTTCTGAAGATTTTATGATCAGAATACCATGTATATGATGAAGTTTCAATCTTTACAGAAATAAATCATGCTGTTGATGAAAATACTGTGAATTTCTTTGAAACAGGCACTTTTACTAGCCCACGATAAGGTGGCTGAGCAGGAAATGCAGCTAGAGCCTATTACAGATGAGAGAGTTTATGAAAGCATTGGCCAGTATGGAGGAGAAACTGTAAAAATAGTTCGAATAGAAAAGGCTCGTGATATTCCATTGGTAAGTTTCCCCATTTCCGATCTGAGATTTTTTTTTTTTAACAGAGATCTATAGTATGGCAGATTTCTCTTTTGAGGTTAATTTGTTGGTCTGTTCATAGCCCTTACTCAGTTGAAAAAAATTATTTTCTCTTGTCTATAATTTGGTGAAAATAATAGCCTATGAAATTTTTATTACATATCGAAGGGAATTCTCCTAGTTTAAAAAAATAATTAGAAAGTCTAGTATTAGGATTGAGCTTCATTTATTGAAATGTAATTTGTTCAGTATTTCAGATTATCTGAGTGTATCTTGTGTGTGTGTGTGTGTTTGTCTGTTTCTGTCTGTCTGTATGTCTGTCTGTCATGAGACTTGTGCTCTGGGCCTGGGCACTGTCCCTGAGCTCTTCAGCTCAAAGTGATCACTCTACTACTTGAGCTAGAGCTCCACTTCAAGTTTTCTGGTGGTTAATTGGAGATAAGTCTCAAGGACTTTCCTGCTTTGAACCATGATCCTCATATCTCAGCCTCCTGAGTAGCTAGGATTACAGGTGTGAGCCACCAGGACCTGGTTTGAGAATACCTTAATATTATATATCTTACAGTTTTTATATGTACAACTTTAAAAATCTCTTCTCATTCTATCATTAACCAATCCTTTATTGTCTCAGGTTTGGCCTGTGGACACAGAAAAAAAAATACATATTTTAGCCAGGCATTGGTGGCTAATGCTTTGGAAGGCTGAAATCTGAGGACTGACTGCATTTTGAAGCCAATCTGGGCAGGAAAGTCTGAGACCTTTATACTCTGGTAAACTACCACAAAAGCCAGAAGTAGAACTCTGACTCAAGTGATAGAGCACTAGCCTTGAGCAAAAAGAATCTTAAGGATAGAGCCCAGGCCCAGAGTTCAAGCCTGGGGATCAGAACATACACATATATATACATGTACACATGTATATATATGTATATGTATTTTTTTTTTTTTGTCGGTTGTGGGGCTTGAACTCTGGGCCTGGGCACTGTCCCTCAGCTCTTCAGCTCAAGGCGAGCGCTCTACCACTTGAGCTACAGTGCCACTTCCGGTTTTCTGGTGGTTTATTGGAGATAAGAGTCTCACAGTCTTTCCTGCCCGGGCTGGCTTTGAACCACGATCCTCAGATCTCAGCCTCCTGAGTAGCTAGGATTACAGGCGTGAGCCACCAGTGCCCGGCTTGTATGTATATTTTTATGAGCAAGATTTATAACTTGTTTTCTTCCCCTCCCCCCCCCCCCCCCCCCCCCCCCCCCCCCCCCGCCCCAGGAAAATAGGAACTGGGAAACACAAAGTATAAGCTTAGAGTAAGCTTTCATCTGTAAGCTTTCATTTCTAGTTTTGGGCATTTTTTCATTTTGTTTCCAATTATTGTAATAAATATTGTTTTATGCATTCTAATGTGAATTGGATGTACAATGTTTCATGTTTGAACAGTCAACCATATTGGTATTCATTCTTTTATCATATTTTAAATTAGAAAAAGCTCAGTTAAAAGTTATGCTCAGGGGCTGGGAAGGTGGCTCAGTGGTAGAGCGCTTGCCTTGCATGCCTGAGGCCCTGGGTTCGATTCCTCAGCACCACATAAGCAAAATGAAAAAAGCCGGAAGTGGTGCTATGGCTCAAGTGGTAGAGCGCTAGCCTTGAGCTGAAGAGCTGAGGAACAACGCCCAGGCCCAGAGTTCAGACCCCACGACTAGACCAAAAAAAAAAAAAGTTATGCTCAGCCAGGTTCTGGTAGAGCCTATATATAACCCTAACTACTAACTACTAACCCTACTACTCAGGAGGCTAAGACATGAGGATGGCTATTTGAAGCTAGTTTGGGCAGAAAGGTCTGTGAGACTGATTTCCAGTTAACCACCAAAAATCTGGAAGTAGAAATGTGATTCAAGTAGTAAAATGACATCCTTAAGCAGAGAAGCTAAGAGACTGTCAGGCACTTGAGTTCAAGCCACAGTACTAGAACAGAGAAAAAAAAATGTCCATTAATTCTACCAAGGTGTGTGCATTGTTGCTATTTGAATAGAACCCAATAAATCAAAAACAATCATGATTATAGGTCTTAATTATTTTAAGCAAGTATATTTTTCTTCTGTTGTATTCTTCAAAAGTCTGCTTGGGTTCAGAATTGTACTACATAGAGTATTTCTAAAGGAGAATGTGTTGTTTTGGAAATGATGAGCTCTTAAATCTTATTACAGTTCCTATAGCTGTATAAATTTTTTTCAGAATAGTTGAAGGCTAGTATTGTTATTGTTTCTAGGGTGCTACAGTTCGTAATGAAATGGAATCTGTCATCATTAGTCGGATAGTAAAAGGAGGTGCTGCTGAGAAGAGTGGTCTCTTACATGAAGGAGATGAAGTTCTGGAGATAAATGGCATTGAAATTCGGGGGAAAGATGTCAATGAGGTTTTTGACTTGTTGGTAAGTTGATATAGATAGAAAAATAATTGTTATCTTTCCTCCCCCTCCCCCCCCCACTTCATTCGTAGGGCTTGAACTCTGTCTGGGCTTGGGTGCTGTCCCTGTGCTCTTCAGCTCAAGGCAAGCGCTCTACCACTTGATCCACAGTACCACTTCCAGTTTTCTGGTGGTTAATTGGAGATAAACATCTCATGGACTTTTCCTGCCCAGGCTGGCTTTGAACTAGGATCCTCAGATCTCAGCCTCCTGAATAGCTAGGATCACAGGCGTGAGCCACGGGCACCAGCTAATTGTTACCTTTGTTAAAACTAGTTTTCTTTATTATTAAACTTGAGTAAATCATTTTTAAGCTACTAAGAATACAAGGCAATTTCTATCCCAATTTTTCTGTAATTGTTCCACAACATTTGTTAGTAGAGTTTTATTTGAGAATAGGTACCGTTTATATTCTTTTCCTTTGAATTTTACTACTACCAATTATTTTAGTTTGTTTAATTTGAGACAGGTTCTCACTATGTATCCCAAGCTGGCCTTAAACCTTTACAGCTACTGCCTCAGCCTCCTGAGGCTTAGAGTATATGTGCCCCTTTTTATACAGAACTTCCGAGAACATTTTATTTGCCTTTGAAATCAGTAATTTATTTAATAAATATTTATTGAGTACATACTACTGTGTTCTAGCCACTGGGAAAACCATAAAATGAAATTCATGTCCATAATTTTTATGTTATTTTGTTATTATCTACAGTTGATTCTTATTTCCTATAGTACTGGAAGTGGTGCTGTGGCTCAAGCGGTAGAGCGCTCGTCTTGAGCTGAAGAGTGCAGGGACAGCGCCCAAGCCCAGAGTTCAAGCCCCACGACCAACAAAAAAAAAAAAGGAAGTAAGATATAGTACCAGTGCTATGCCTCTTTTATGTCAAATATAACAGCCATTAACTACATGTATACTTACTTTAATTAAATAAGTTTTAAAGTTCAATTCCTTATTTTCATCAGCTTATTCTTTAAATGTTAAAGAATAAGTATTACCTAATGGCTACCATATTAAGATGTAGATATAGCCATAATCCTATTATTGCACAAAGTTCTTTGAACATGACTAGTATAGTTAGAAAATAGGTTGAAGTTATCTTTTGAAGGCAGTTTATGGTTATCTTGTACATACTCACAAACCAAAACATATTCTTAATTACTTAGCATCAGTTATTACAATGTAGGTATCCATTTTGATATAGAAAGCCTCTTTGCTATGGTAGAACAAAGTGATGGGACATCACTTTTAGCCCATTTTACTGGCTGCTCTTTAGCTTGATAACTGCTCCCTTCTGTATCAGCACCAGAAATTGTAATGGTCACTGTGTAGGCTCGAGTACCTGAATGAAGCAATCAGTGATGTACTGGGCAAAAATCAGAAAAGCATATAGTTAAGAAAATAGAAAGTATAACAGATAAGGCAACCACAGATTGAGTCTAGAGAGAAGTTCTGAAATAGTCCATTTCCACAGAAATGGCACAGAAGTGGCTCAAGTGATAGTGTACTAGCCTTGAGGAAAAGCACTCAGGGACAGTGCCCAGCCCCTGAGTTCAAGCACCACGACTGATGGGGGGTGGTGGGAGGAGTTGGTAATACATGATAATGTACTGATTTTTATCAATTCAGATTTAAAAAATAATCTAATATTTTTATTGCAGTCTGATATGCATGGTACTTTGACATTTGTTCTGATTCCAAGTCAACAAATTAAGCCTCCACCTGCTAAGGAAACAGTAGTAAGTGATTTTTTTTTTTTTTTTTTTTTTGGTGTTCATTGTCCTGTGACTACTGTGTACTTATCTGTATCAAAATAAATATTTCTTCCTAATATTTCTTTATTAAATATTTCTTGTGCTTAAATAAAAAGGGACAAATTTATTGTTTTTTTGTTATTTGGACTGGTTCTGGGTTTTGAATTTGTCAGGTGTTGAGTGCTGTCCCTGAATTTTCTTTTACTTAAGACTAGCACTGTACCATTGGAGCCACAGTGACAATTTTTTTTCCAAGCAGTTATTGGAGATAAGATTCACATGGGCTTTCCTGCCTGAGATGGCTTTGAACCCTGATCCTCAGTTCTCAGCCTCCTTAGTAGCAAGGATTATAGGCATGAGCCACCAACACCTGACAAATTTATTGGTTTTATATAAGGAAAAATACAATATCAGGGGACTGGGAATGTGGCTTAGTGGTAGAGTGTTTGCCTAGCATGCATGAAGCCCTGGGTTCAATTCCTCAGTACCACATAAACAGAAAAAGCCGGAAGTGGCTCTGTGGCTCTAGTGGTAGAGTGCCTAGCCTTGAGCAAAAGAAGCTCAGGGACAGTGCTCAGGTCTTGAGTTCAAGCTCCAGGACTGGCGAAAAAGAAAAAGAAAAAAGAAAAAACAACAATATAAACATTTCAAGAGCCAGGGTTGACTTAAGTGGTAGATTGCTTGCTCTTAGTTCAAACCCCAGTACTGCCCAAGAAGAAAAATCTTTTTAAAAAAATATGAACTTGTTTAAAATAAAAGTAGGAAATACTTTGGTTTCATGATCTTTCTGATCTTTCTATAATTGAACTTGGTCTTTCACTATAGTTAAAAGTAGGCTTCTTTAAATAAACTCAGTATATAAGAAAAGTTGGCTTTTGCAAAGTATGTGCAACTTAATTTAGAGTTCATTGCCCTATGATACACATTTACTCAGCTCTGTTAAAAGATAAACTTTGGCCAGGAGCCAGTGACTCATACCTATAATCCTAGCTGCTCAGGAGGATGAGATCTGGGTTGTAGTTCAAAGAGATCCCAGACAGGAAAGTCTGTAAGACACTCATCTATTAACCACCAAAAAGCCAGAAGTGGGAATGGCTCAAGTGGTTAGAGTACTAGCCTTGAGCACAAAAGCTAGGGTACAGTGCCCTGTACCCTAGTTTCAAGGCCCTGTAATGACACACAAAAAAGTTTATTCCTTTAATGTATAAAATAAGTATTATGTTGACACAAAATGAAAGTAATTTAGAACAGATTTTTAGCATAAAAATGAAATAACTAATTCTTTGGTGATTAACTTCTACCTTTTGTTATTAAGAATAAAAGACTGATTTAATATGAGAACCAAAGAATGTCTGTTGAGGGTTCATAGTAAACAGCTTTAAGAAATAAGTAGAGGGAGCTGGGGAGGTGGCTCAGTGGTAGAGTGCTTGCCTTGCATGCATGAGGCCCTGGGTTCAATTCCTCAGCACCACATAAACAGGAAAAGCCGGGAGTGGGCGCTGTGCTCAAGTGGTAGAGTGCTAGACTTGAGCTGAAAAGCTGAGGGACAGGGCCCAGGCCCAGAGTTCAGGCCCCACGACCAGGAAAAAAAAAAAAAAGAAGAAGAAATAAGTAGAAAAGAAAATAGCTTTAAGAAGAGCAGGAGAAAAAAAAATACTAGGATTATCCAAAGTTGTTCTTAAAAAAAAAGAACAGGGGGCTGGGAAGGTGGCTCAGTGGTAGAGCGCTTGCCTTGCATGCCTCAGGCCCTGGGTTCGATTCCTCAGTACCACATAAGCAAAAAGAAAAAAGCCAGAAGTGGCGCTGTGGCTCAAGTGGTAGAGCGCTAGCCTTGAGCTGAAGAGCTGAGGGACAGCGCCCAGGCCCAGACAGAGTTCAGGCCCCTCGACTGGACCAAAAAAAAAAAAAAGAGAGAATTTGAGGGCTTTAGGTATAGCTCAAGTGGTAGAATACCTATCTAAAACACAGCATTTGAATAACAATCTTTTGAAAATATGAAGCAATAAGCAATGCTTTTTTCTTCCTTTTTTTTCCCTATCAAAACTGAATCAGTCTTTTGCAAAGTTTTAAGTCAAACCTAACTGGCTTAAAATGAACTTGTAGTATAAATGCTCTCTCTCAGTAAAGTTGTTTGCAAAGGCAATAATGATATAAATAATAATTTTGACTGGCACATGCACAATATCTTTGTGCATGTACATAATATCTATTAGTGGTCTGTAGAAATTAAAGTCAACCTAGCTAGGTAGAGTGATTCACAACTTTATTTTCAGCTACCCAGGAGTCAGAGATCAGGAGGATTATGGTTTGAGGACAGCCTAGGCAAAACTTAATAATACCTCATCTCATCCAATATCTGGGTGTGGTGGTACCTGACAGTCTACACAGAAAGCATAAATATGAGGATAGCAATCTAGGCTAGCTTGAGCAGAAACATGAGATCTTAGCCCTCACAATAAAGCAACAAGGGCTGGGAATGTGATTAAAGTGGTAGATTGATTACCTGCCTAGCAAGTGCAACACCCATAACCACCAATTAATAAATAAATAGTAAAATAACTGAATCAAGCTCTTTATTGTACAGGTCATTATTTGACAAAAGCAGCAAAGTTATCTTTCTGAGATTTTTGTGGTGACAGAAACAAATTTAATATAGATATACATACATATATAAGGACATATGTAATAGGCATTATCTAAAGCTCCAATAGAATCACATGCTAAAATACAGTGTCATGTATGACAAAAACAAGCTTATCAGGAGTACTTTGTAAGTTTCTTATGTATCATACATTGGAAACTGTGGCTGCCCTTTCAGTATCAAGACAGAAGTCTAGCACTTTGGTAGTTGACTTCCTGGATGACTGACACACTTGTCCTAGGAAAAATACACATTTTCTGAAACTATGTTTTCTGTTTTCCATCCTGCACAGAGCCTTCAAAAGGACTGGGTTTCCCAAACTAAAGTGCAAACTATCATAAAACTATATTAATCTACTGTGTAATTGAAATAAGGATAGTCTAGATTTGTTTTAGCTGAAAAGAAACTTTTTCATCTAGTTTAATGCTTTAATAAGACAGAACATTGAAGGAGGATCACAGTACTTATTAGTGGTAGAATATACTAAAATTTTTTGATATATTTTTGTATAGATTATATCATATATATCTTGAGTGATCATAAATATTAGCAATTGGGATGGGAAGGTGGCTCAGTGGTAGAGCGCTTGCCTTGCATACTTGAGGCCCTGGGTTCGATTCCTCAGCACCACATAAGCAGAAAAAAAGCCAGAAGTGGTGCTGTGGCTCAAGTGATAGAGTGCTAGCCTTGAGCTGAAGAGCTGAGGGACAGCGCCCAGGCCCCACGACCAGACACCCCCCCCCCATAAATAAATAAATAAATAAATATTAGCAATTATAATTACCAGGCAACTACAAAGAAGTAAGAAAAAGTTAAGGACTACTGTAGTAAACTCTATTTATTTTATTATGAGAGGATTAATCTTAATTTCTTTCTCATTTGGAAGTTCTGTAATTTTGTAACACAGTAAGATTTTTATGACTAAATATTTTATCAGAAAACACATGGGATGTTAGATTATCCATCATTACCTTGAACTGTAAGTTCATATGAATTTTGAAAGCCAGTTACTCTCTGAGCTCTTCCCCTCTTAGGTGGGTCAAAAAAATTGTGAAGTTCAACTGGCTGTTCCTTACTAAAGCAGAGATAAAACTGCTTATTCTTATTCAGGCCTTTTTCTTCTCACTAACCACTTTATTTTGGTCTTATTATCCTCAGCTTCCTCTCACATATTTAGTAATCTAAGATGGCACTAGTCTCTTCCATTTGTGACTTTGCCTAAAGAATCAGATAAACTAAGAATATTAAGTTTAAAGAAGAAATTAGGTGGGCTGGAGATAAGAGGTCAGTGGTAGAGCATTGCCTAGCATATAGTGTAGCTTTGTAGTAGAATGCTTGCAGAAATAAGCTATATTTCTAAAGTGATTTCTGAGACAGACCACTATTACTTCTATAATATATATCTGCAATTATGGTGAAGATAAAAAACTTAAGAAGGCTAGGAAGATGGCTCAGTGAAGAGTGCCTGCCTTGTATGTATGAGGCCCTGGGTTCAATTCCTCAACACCACATGAACAGCACCAGAATGGTGCTGTGGCTCAAGTGGTAAAATGCTAACCTTGAGCTGAAGAGCTGAGGGACAGCGTGTAGGCCCAGAGTTCAGGCCCCAAGACTGACCCCCCCCCCCCCAAAAAATAAAGACTTAAGCCAGATAACATTTGAATAGAAACTGGTCTCAGAATTTTTTAATTCTTAAGCTATTGATTTATTGCTTGGCCTGTTGAACCTGAACTTGGAATTGAGTTTATATGGGGCAGAAACACTCATTTTATGTAGTACTGGATTTCATTACATAAAGACAGCTTCCTTACAGACTTCTGAAATCCCACTTGTCCAACTTCAATAAATTTAGAAATTAAAGAGGATATTAATTTCTTTGTATCATCTTTGAAGAATTCTTTGCTATATTTTATGGGAGCATTTTGTAAGAAATTACATAGGAAATAACATATTTCTGTAAAGTTCTAAATAGTATGGCATGCTTATACTTATTCACATGCAAAAAACATTGTTAGAAAAAATTACATTAACTACTAATATTTCAGAGAAAACATAATGTATAAATGGGAATGGATAATCTCTAGTTACAAGAATTATAGCAGTTTAGGGCAGGCTTGTTTCATGAACATTTAGGAAAAAAACATCAAGGAAAATTAAGGCACAGTCACACTGAGAGTGGGGTCATAACAACCTCACAGAAACAGGCAAGCACCTGCTTACATGAGAGATGTATGGTTTTAAGTCTATACTTTCTGGTGCAGTGGTTTTGAAATTGCATACATTATTGTGGTGTCACTGGTTTTTTACAAGTCAGATAGTACCTATTATATTTCTTCTGTTTCTCAAGTCTTTGAGGCAACTCTGCAACTTGTTAACTGCTTGTCGAGCTTGCTACATTAATAGTGACACAGTCTGGACATGCTTGTGTGCTTGCAATCAACAGTGAAGACAACAGATGACCACCAAATACTGTTTTTTAACCAAAAATCCAACTTTCAACTCATATCTTTTTACTGATGAAAAAATTATGACATTTGTATTTATGCAAAATATTTTGTGTTGCCATTGTCCTTGTGTTTATTTTTTTTATTCTTCTTATGTTTTAGATCCACGTAAAGGCTCATTTTGACTATGACCCATCAGATGACCCTTATGTGCCATGTCGAGAGTTAGGCCTATCTTTTCAAAAAGGAGATATCCTTCATGTGATCAGTCAAGAAGATCCAAACTGGTGGCAAGCCTATAGGGAGGGAGATGAAGATAATCAGCCTCTAGCTGGGCTTGTTCCAGGTAAGAGATAATATAGTAGAATGTACATAGTATTAATAGAACATTTAAGGGGGTAGGGATCTAGGACAATGCTAATACATGTACCTAGCATTTACAAGGTCTTGGGATCAATCCTTAGTCCCAATTTTTTTTCTTTAATTTTAAGGTAGAGAGCTGAAGATGAAGGTAAGCACTTGAAAGTCTCCTATATTAGAATCTTGATCCTGCAAAGAAAGTCAGGTTTTCCACTTATTTGTGTTATCAGAAACTTAAAATCAGAAACATATACATGCATATAAAACAAAAAGAGGGAAGCAAACAATAAAGGGAATAGATGCAAAGAATGTGTTGAGTGGCAACTGAGAATCAAAATATGATGAATGCCCACATTTTGCTTTAATTAGTAAATAGTATTTTAGGGGTAAAGTTAATGCCTAGAGATGATATATTTGATTTGAGATAATTTTAAGTAACTGGGACCATTCTCCGATGCGATATATAACTTTCAACATAGTCTATACTCAGTGAAGCTTTTTAAAAGTTGCTGGACATTGGTGACTCACACGTGTAATCCTAGGTACTCAGGAGAAGGTTGGTGTTTGAAGCTATCCTGATCAGAAATCCATAAGACTCTTATCTCCAGTTAGCTACCAAAAGGTCAGAAGTTGAACTGTAGCTCAAGTAGTAGAGTGCTAGCTAGCCTTGAGCAAAAAAGCTCAGGGACAGTAGGCCCTGAGGTCAAGCCTCAGAATGGGCACCAAAAAAAAAAAGTTGAACTATATATTTCTAGTGTTGATTTATTATTTATCTTTTTATAATAGATGATACAGAGTTCTGGGCTGATACAGAGTTCATGCTTGCTTAGCAAGCATGAGGCCCTGAGTCTAATCTCTATTACCATCACACATACACACACACACACACACACACACACACACACACACACACACACACACACACACACACGCATACACACACACACACACACACACACACACAAGATAGCTAATAGTAAATAAGATTAAACAGGGTTGAAACTTAATACATTGGAAACTTTAGAACATTTGGAGACTTTTATAGAAAAGCAACTATATATGAAGAATTACATAGTTTTTCCTTTTGATTCAAAAGTATTTTTATCCTTTTTCTTAAATATTTTACCCCCATTTTTTTCTGTTATTAAGGGAAAAGCTTTCAGCAGCAAAGAGAAGCCATGAAGCAAACCATAGAAGAAGATAAGGAGCCAGAAAAATCAGGTTAGACCCATATTTAACATTTAGAGGTTTCTTGAGTTTTCACCTGGAGCCATGTTAAATTTGCATGCCAAAATACTAGGTGTATTCATAGAGTGATATAAGAGGTTAAAACATTACCTTTATCATCTGACGGTGGTAAAGAAAATTTTTAATATTAAAGGGTATTTATAATTGATGAAAAATAAATGCTGAAAAATAGTTCTATGAACAATATAAGTTGTTAATAAATTTAAATTGGTAATTTGAATTCTACAGTTTGAAATATTTAGTTTTAGCCAGGCATTGGTGGCTCATACCTGTAATCCTAGCTACTCAGGAGGCTGAGATCTGAGGATCACAGTTCAAAGCCAGCCCAGGCAGGAAAGTCCGGAAGTGGTGCTGTGGCTCAAGTGGTAGAACACTTGCCTTAACCTGAAGAGCACAGGGACACGCCCAAGCCCAGAGTTCAAGCCCCATAACCGACCAAAAAAAAAGAAAGAAATATGTAGTTTTGCTCAAGGGAAAAAATACAACATTTATAGTTATTTTTGATTACTCAACAGGAAAACTGTGGTGTGCAAAGAAGAATAAAAAGAAGAGGAAAAAAGTTTTATATAATGCCAATAAAAATGATGGTAAGTTTTCATGTATAGCTGGAGTTATATCTGAAAGGTGTCTGAAGGTCTAAATGTGATTCTAAGTAGAAAGTAAACTAGTGTTTTCAGGGAGTTTGTTTGTGTTTTTATTCTTTATTTAAATCTACTCGTAATTCAACATATACTTCAGAAAGTAATTAGCTAGAAATTATTTTCTTTTGGACTCCTGTGAAGTAAAAAGTGAATAGTTCATCTACTGTGGCAAACTCATCCCACAGAGCCTAGCACTTGTTGTCTGAATCAAGCACACAAAAATGTCTTTGTTTTATCTTGATTTATTGTTAATACTAAAAGATTTTAAGGTAAGTCCTGGTAACATTGAGTTTATATTCTAAAATAACAACCATCTGCTGATCTGATGGCTGCTGTCCCTATTTTTAGAATCTGTGTGTAGTTGGAAAGTCTGTTACTTCCAGTTTTTTTATAAACCCAACCAGATTTTCCGATTTCAGTGTGTGTGTGTGTGTGTGTGTGTGTGTGTGTGTGTGTGTGTGTGTGTGTGTGTGTGTGTGTGTGTGTGTGTGTGTGTGTGTGTGTGTAAACCCAACCAGATTTTCCGATTTCAGTGTGTGTGTCTCCACACTAGTATGGAACTTGAACTCAGGGCATCAAGTTCTTGCTTAGCTTTTTCAAAACTCAAGGCTGTCACTTGAGCCACACCATCTTACCACTTTTTGCTGATTAATTGGAGACAAAACTTTTCCAAATTTGTCATTCTGGGCTGACTTGAAACTACTATCCTCAGATCTCAGCCTTCTACTAATAGGTATGAACTATCTGTGCCTAACCTCATTACCTTTCTTGATTGGTCTTCATGGGCACTTGAATTTGCTAACCATGCTTTGGTTCATAATAGTAGAAATAAGCCAACTAATAGATCAGAGACATTTGTTCTTTTATAATTTCTGAGACATCTCAAGAATATAAAATATTTGCAAACAGTATAAATTTAATGAAGAGTAAATGTTTATTATTGAAATATTCTATACCATGCTAACTCTGAAATTCAATCAGTTTTAATCATGCTTTTTCTGAAACTAACATCTTTTAATGGTAACTGATAGATTATATAATCAAGATTTATTGAATTTTTAGTGTACCCTCTGAAAATTTTATTTAATTGATTTTTTTTTTTTGTTATTTTTATCTTTTTTGTCAGTCGTGGGGCTTGAGTGCTGAGCCTACGTGCTGGCCTTCAGCTCTTCAGCTCAAGGCTAGTGCTTTACCATTTGAGCCACAGCACCACTTCCGGCCTTTTCTGTTTATGTGGTGCTGAGGAATCAAACCCAGGGCCTCATGCATGCAAGGAAGGCAATCTACCACTGAGCCACCTTCCCAGCCCCTTAATTGATTTTTTAAATTATTTTTAAGTAGTTGTACAAAGGAGTTGCTATTTAACAAAACAGTTTATCAACCCAGTGTATCCTTTTTAATGAATTTTTATTGTTATTGTAAAGTTGGTTACAGAGTGGTTACAGTTATATAAAAATAAAGAGTACATTTCTTTTTCAACAATGTTACCCTTTCCCTTGCTCTCTTCCCAGTTTTTCCCTCCCGCCCCCACCCACAAGTTGTGTAGTTCATTTTCACCACAGTATCTAGTGTCCACTATTTCTGTGTTCTCCCTGGCCCTCCCAAAGTCATATAAACACAAAAGAAAAAGAAGACAAAAACAGCAACAAAGGGAAAAAACCTCTTGTTTCCATTTCAATAAATATTTTATGTAATCAGAAACACAGTTACTGCACCTTTGTGTTCCTCTCCTAAGTCTCTGAAACAGACTACATACAGTTTACTGATTCTTAAAGTTACTACACTATAGAAAACTTGGCCCGGTATAACTTGTATTTTTTTAAAAAGTATTTTAATTATAAAAATTTTACTGTACACCTGTCAACATGGACACAATCACACTATAAAAGTAAATGTGGCTGGGCCCCAATGGCTCATGCCTGTTATCCTAGCTACCCAGGCTGAGATCTGAGGATCTTGGTTCAAAGCCAGCCCAGGCAGGAAAGTCCATGAGACTCTTACCTCCAATAAACCACTAGAAAACTGGAAGTAGTGCTGTGGCTCAAATGGTAGAGCACTAGCCTTGAGCTGAAGAGCTGAGGGACAGCCCATAAGCCCAGAGTTCAAGCCCCACCAATGACTCAAAAAAAAAAAAGAAAACTTGGCAAATCTAAAGCCTACAGAATTAAACTAGTAAGTCTGAAAATCAAAATGTTATATGTTATAGAGATCTCAGTATAGAGAAAGTAGAAAATTATTGCTATTCATAATGGTGTCATCGTTATTATTTTTAGCAACTATCTTTTATAATACTTGCTGTCTTCCATGGCTTCAGTTTCCATAGTAAATATCTTAAGTTCAGCTCTAAGGTAATCTGCTTAAATTCTTGTAGCCAACAAAGAAACTAGAAATCAAACAAATGTTTTTTGTTTTTTTTTTTTGGGGTCCGGTCGTGGGGCCTGAACTCTGGGCCTGGGCGCTGTCCCTCAGCTCTTCAGCTCAAGGCTAGCGCTCTACCACTTGAGCCACAGTGCCACTTCCGGCTTTTTTCTTTTTGCTTATGTGGTGCTGAGGAATCGAACCCAGGGCCTCGAGCATGCAAGGCAAGCGCTCTACCACTGAGCCACCTTCCCAGCCCCAAACAAATGTTTGAACTCTTACTCTGTGCCAGGCTTTGTCCTGAGCACTGGCAACATGGAACTTATGTCTGACAGCGTCTGACTGTATAACTGATGACCCTTCTCAGTCAGTTAAAATAATAATAGTGACAACTAGCTGCCTCCTGTGTTCTTACTGCTTGACAGCTCTAGTTTTATCTGGATTATGGGCTTTAGAAATGTTACTCCACCCATCCGTCATACTTCATCTTGAGTCATGACTGTGTTAGCATCCTAAAATAAAGCAAATATAAATGCAGAAAGGGTGGATAGCACAAGTATGACTTGTCTTCAAGTTATACAATTATAAAAAAGTACTCCAGTACTCTGATAACACTAATTGCAGCTAGTATATGCAAATGTTTGTCCATACCTGCTAATCTGCTAGCCCATCCATATCCAATCCTTAAAACAATCTTCTTATATAGAATCTTTACAAAGGTTACAGTTATTCTCATAAATTAATCTGCTGGACCATCACCCTCTTAGTATTCACAGCAGACTATTTTATGTGAGAATCAATATGAAGCAAGATAAATAGTACAAAATTTCTAGGAGGATTATATTGTTTTTTGATTCATTTTCATGGCACCCTGGTAATGATACAATGCCATAAGAAAATGCTCGTGTTTAATACTACTCAGCTAGAATTATAGGTGGGAGTCACAGTTCCTGATTATAAATGAGTAGTATTAAACACGAGCATTTTCTTATGGCATTGTATCATTACCAGGGTACCATGAAAGTGAATCAGAAAACAATATAATCCTCCTAGAAATTTTGTACCATTTATCTTTTCCATCTCAATCAGTAAAAGATGAATGTGGTAATGTATATTTGTGTGCATATGTGTATGTAAACCCATACATGACATGTCTATCATGATGCAAAAAGCTAAGCATTTTAATGACAATAAACTTTTTCCAATCTATGGGGAAGGTCTAGAGGTCTATGAGTGTGTGTGTGTGTGTGTGTGTGTGTGTGTGTGTGTGTGTGTGCGCATGCATGTGCCAATCCTAGGGTTTGAAATGAAGGCCAGAGCACTGTCTCTGAAAGGCTAGCACTCTACCACTTGAGCCACAGAACCACTTCTGGCTTTTTTGATGCATAATTGGAAATGAGTCTGGCTTTAAACTGCAGTCCTCAGATCTTAGGCTCCTGAGTAGTTAGTATTACAGGCATGAATCACTGGTGCTCAGCAGTATTTATATCTTTTTGACATAGCAATAATTCTGTCTGAAGGGATTAATTTTTTCTTTCTCAAAGATTATGACAATGAGGAGATCTTAACTTACGAGGAAATGTCACTTTATCATCAACCAGCAAATAGGAAAAGACCTATCATTTTGATTGGTCCACAGAATTGTGGACAGAATGAATTGCGTCAGAGGCTCATGAACAAAGAAAAGGACCGCTTTGCATCTGCAGTTCCTCGTAAGTGTGTGCTTTTGAATTTACCATCTCAGAACCTAAATGGGGAAATTTTTCTCATTTTATTGAAAAATAATGAAACATTGAAACAGTCTTACTAATATAAAAGAACTTTTTTAGCCAAATATTTTGACAATTTTTTGCTAAAGAGCTTTTGAAACAAATTCTTCTTACCAGTGTTTTAGTTCTAGTTTTAATGAGTTTTAGTTTTAGCCCCTTATAATTCCCTATTCCATGGGAGATTAGCTAGTACTTTAAATTGATGTAGAAGACAGAAATTTAGACCTAATCTCTTTCCTAATTTTATAGAAAATAACTTTAGGAAAAGATGAATAGCAATGTGTTAAATGCAAGATGAAGTAATTTAAAGCGTGAGCATTAAAAGGATTAAAGTAATTAACTCAAATTACAAGACTTTTTTTTTTTTGGCCTGTCCTTGGCCTTGAACTGGGCCTACGTACTGTCCCTAAGCTCCTTTCACTCAAGGCTCAGAGTCTACCACCTGAGCTACCACTCTAGCACCTAGCACCACTTGGGTCTTTTTCATTGATTAATTGAAGCTAAGAGTCTCACAAACTTTCCTGCCTGGGCTGACTTTGATCCACAGTCCTCAGATCTCCACCCCCTGAGTAGCTAGCATTACAGTCATGAGCCACCAGTGCCCAGCTAATAGACATTTTTTTTTTATGTCTCACTCTAGAAATAACAACAGTGTTAAATGCATAGGCCCTTAACACTTCCTCAGCTCATTATTTTATAATCTGTGCTTGAAAAGTTCTTATTAAATGAATTATCACCCCTTACCCACTCTGATTTTCTTTACCTTAGACACAACTCGGAGTAGGCGAGACCATGAAGTAGCTGGTAGAGATTACCACTTTGTTTCACGGCAAGCATTCGAGGCAGATATAGCAGCTGGAAAGTTCATTGAGCATGGTGAATTTGAGAAAAACTTGTATGGAACCAGCATAGATTCTGTACGGCAAGTGATCAACTCTGGCAAAATATGTCTTTTAAGTCTTCGTACACAGGTACAAATTTTTATTTTACAGGGTATGATCTGCAATATAATACAATGAAAACTGTTATGGTCCAAGAATGGCAGGAACATAATTAAATTCTCATACAATTTTCCCAGTGTAACCTCAAATAGGCTGGACCATGGTGGTTCATGCCTGTAATCCTAACTACTTAGGAGGCTGAGATTGGCAGAATCACAGTGCAAGGCCAGCTCAGATAGAAAAGGTCACAAGATCCTTTCCCAATGAAAAGCTGTACACGGTGGTACATACTATACTATATCCTAACTGTGACAGGAAGCCTGAAATAGGTGGATTATGGCCTAGACAGACACAAACCCAGGCAAAGATCAGGAGGATCAGTGCTTCAGATCCACTTTGACAAAAATTTGAAAGATAACATTAAAAGCAACCAGTCAAAAGTTGGATGTGGTGGTAAATGCCTGCCATACTAGTGATGAAAGAAGTAAAGTAGGAGAATAAGGGTCCAAACCAAACAGGCATAAACAAAAGAACCTATTTGAAAAATAATTAAAGCAAAATAAAAGATAAGATGTGTAGTAGAGTACCTGCCTAGCAAAGGCAAGCCTCTGAATTCAAACCCTAGTATCATACACACACATGTACAAAGACTAACATATATTATTTATTTATTGCCAGTCCTGGGATTTGAACCTCAGGGTCTGGATGCTGTACCTGAGAATCTTTTGCCCAGGGCTAGCACTCTACTACTTGAGCCACAGCTCCATTCTGGCTTTTTTGGTAATTTATTGGAAATAAGTCATGGATTTTCCTGACTGGGCTGTCTTTGAACCATGATCTTCAGATCTCAGCCTCCTGAGTAGGTAGAATTACAGGCATGAGCCACCAGTGCCTAGCTAGAACATATATAACATATTCCTATACTGAATGATACAATCTTAAGTATTTGAAGACACTTGTGGATAATGGTTTAAACATTGTATCATTGTACCAGGCACCAGTGTGACTCACACCTGACTATTCAGAAGGCTATCTGAGGACTGCAGTTCAAAGCCAGTCCAGGCAGGAAAGTCCGTGAGTCTCCAATCAAACTACCCCCCAAAAATGGCTCAAATGGTAGAGTACTAGAAGCTTAGTAATGGTGCCCAGGCCCTTAGTTCAAGCCCTAGGACTGGCAAAAAAAAAAAAAAAATTATCCATTTTATTATGTTTATTACTGAGAGGTAATTTAATGATGAAAATTATTTTTAAAGTACTACTATCTTTACAGTCTTTGAAGACCCTCCGGAATTCAGATTTGAAACCATACATTATCTTTATTGCACCACCTTCACAAGAAAGACTTCGAGCATTATTGGCCAAAGAGGGCAAGAATCCAAAGGTGAACTTATATTATTGTACTGTTCTGTTGAAGATAGTGCTTAAAAGCTACATCATCTTTAGTTTTTGAGTTAACTATTCTTTCTCTGTCACTTGCCAGAATTTGCCATAGTTTCCATTAGTTAGGCTATGACAGCTTTCAGAGGGCTGCTCTTGTTCCCAAATGTTCTGTGCTGTTAATACCAAATGTGTGATAATCTCTAGCCTTCCTTAAAATTTATCTTCACCTAGGCCTGTGACATTTCCAGGTGATGATTTAACTACCCTCCCTTCACCACCACTTCAGTCCCTACGTTCTTAGCAAATCCTTAGATTACCCAGTTTTCTCTTTAAATATTCCACATTTTCAATGTGGTAGAGTGCCTTTTTTTTTTTAATTTAAACTTTGTTTCTTCCGTTTTGGTCTTCTCATGATTTTTTAAAATTGTAGATCTATATTGGATATGGTTAAGATAGTCCATGTTATACTAAATATTACTAAGAAAGATCACTGATAATATAGTGATTTTCCATTGAAATGATATGTGTGTACGGATGTGTATGTGTGTGTGTATGTGTGTGTGCATATGTGCACAGTACTAGAGCTTGAACTCAGGGCCTAGGCAATATACCTTAGCATTTTTCACTCAAAGCTAGCACTCTACCACTTGAGCTACAACTCCACTTCTGGCTTTTTTGCTGGCTAATTGGAGATAAGAGTCTCACAGACTGTTTAGGCTGGCTTCAAGTCACAATCTTCAGATATGCTTTATTAAGCCAGACATGATTGAGCATTGCTGCCCCAACTACTCAGGAAGCTGAGATAGGAGGATTGAGGGTTCTAGACCAACCTTGGCTAATCTAGTGAGATCCTGTCTCAAAAAAGTTCTTTACATATTGAAAACAGCAAAGAAAATTTAAGGTCTTGGGCTGCATATTATCACACAAGTATAGAACATTTTCTTAGAAAAAACATAACCTATTATATTAACCCTTTTCCATCATGTGTATTCTCCCTAACTTTGCACACTTTGTCAAGGTACTTTGACTCATTACATCAACCAGAAAGGCTGACTCTGTTGTTACATGGTACTTTCAGGAAGAGGCTACGATACTCTAAAATGTTTAAAAATAATGTCCATAAGGAATTCAAAGTAATAGTCTATGCACTAGTGCCTATAGTCTTGGTGGAATACAACAGAAATATATGAAAATCTAAAGAGTGATATAAAACAGTGTGTGTTAGCAAGGCCTCAGTGGTTCATGCCTTTAATCCTAGCTACTCAGGAGGCTGAGATCTGAGAATCTCCAGCCCATGCAGGGAAGTCCATGAGACCACCACAAAACCAGAAGTGGAGCTGTGGCTTAAAGTGGTAGAGCACTAGCCTTGAGCAAAAAAGCTCAGGGCCCAGGCCGAGTTCAAGCCCCATGACTGACATAAGATAGATAAAACAGTGTGTGTTAAGTCCCAAATGATTTATAATCTTAAGTCCTGAAGGTGTCAAGGCAAAGGAAAGCACAATGGCCCCAGAAAGGGGTGGAAAGGAACCCCTTTGTGGGTCATGGGGCTTGAACTCTGGGCCTAGGCAGGAACTCTTCTTGAGGTTCAGTTAGAAATTAAGTGATGGAAGGGCACTCTGGTTGGCCATCCAATTCATCCTGTATTTTGGTAAGGATAGATTGTCTCACATTTTTTATCTTTTCATTGCAGCCTGAAGAATTGAGAGAAATCATTGAGAAGACTAGAGAGATGGAACAGAACAATGGCCACTACTTTGACACAGCAATTGTGAATTCAGATCTTGATAAGGCCTATCAGGAATTGCTTAGGTTAATTAACAAACTTGATACAGAACCTCAGTGGGTGCCATCCACTTGGCTGAGGTGAAGGAAAACATTCTGTAGCATGATTGGACCTGATCTGGAAAAATGCCCAATAGGGAGATGGCTCCATACTTCAGCAAGATTGAGGGTAAGATGGAAGGCAGCAGGATAAGCTGCAGACTTGTTAAAGCCCTTGAGCCTAGAGAGAAAAAAGTCCCATTAGGCAATTTGTGTACAACTTTATTCTCTATGTGTGGCTTTAGGGGCTCTTGGTTCATTTGGGAGATTGAAGTGGAAACTTTCAACAAGCATTTCCATTTTATCCTGTTAAAAACCTTTTGTTTCCACCTACGTAAACTTTTTGGCTTGGTCATCTTTCCATGAAAAATTTGTATATAAATACATAATCTCCACATCTCACAAATATTGACATTATTTAACACTTAAATAACTTCATGAAAACATTTTGGAGGAACAGTGCTTCTGTGCACTGAGCAAAACAGTATTTACTTATGAGACTGGTTTAGTCATCAAAAATAATTTCCTAAAAAAGAATAAGAAAAAGTGTCATTCTGGCTTGGTATTATCTTTTAATTCTGGAAAAGATTCCAATAGAAGCTCCTGGCTTTTTAGTTCAAACTTCTTGGATCAGACTACAAACATATTTAGCAGCCCTTAATATAGTTAAAAGTATACAAACATTCTGATCTTTTTAAAGATGTAATTTTCTGAATTTTAAAATTGTCACAAGTGATTTGATAGCTTTGCTTCCTGTCTCTGATTACAATAGAATGTATTGATGTTTTTATGAATGGCAGGTGTTCATATAAAGTGTGCTATTAAAAAAGTTTCTTGATGATGCAAACTTTTTATTTAAATGGAAGGGGATAGCATATTTGACAGTTTTTGCATTTTCATATGTGAGAACAGTATTAGTCTATGACTGTACTGTGTATGCAAGTAACAAACTGGAATTCTGAATATAGCTGCTATATTGTACACTAGTATTTAATAGATCAATAAATGGTCACTGGTAATACTTGTTCAGCTTTAGAGTTAAATTATGTATGTATTAGGGGAATACTATGCTCTTAGATCAGAAGGAAAGCCTTGATTGAAAGAACATTGGAAGAAAACACTATTAAACATGTACAAATAGGTTTTATCTTAATATGGATGCAATAGCTTGCTGAATCATAGAATAAATGTTTAAGCTAATGGGATTTTTGTACTGTCTCAATAGCTGTAGCTTTAAAATTCAGTGTAATTGGCATGGAAAGTTAATTTGTAATCTTTTCAAGCCTCTGCAAATAGCGTGATATGTGACAAATAACCTCAAATGTGAATGCCTTATTTTTTTAAGATGGCTTTAGCTACAGCATTTGGTGTTCCCAAAGCTAAACACTGGAATACTCCGATCACTTAATTTAACACAAACACTTGTTAATAAGTAATTTGTGTCGTAGGTATGACTTTTTCCTCTTCAACATAATTTTATTTGAACAAATGTAGACAGTTTGAGTTAGCCTTTTTCTTTCTGATTTTGCATGGCCTTTTTAGTTGGCTGGGGAGGTGTGTTTTTTGTTTGTCAGTTATGAGGCTTGAACTCAGCCTGGGCGCTGTCCCTGAGCTCTTCAGCTTAAGGCTAGTGCTCTGCCAATTTGAGCCACAGCACCACTTCAGTTTTCTGGTGGTTATTTGGAGATGAGTCTCACAAGACTTTCCTGCCTAGGGTGGCTTTTAACCGCGATCCTCAGATCTCAGTCTCCTAAGTAGCTAGGATTACAGGTGTGAGCCACCAGCGCCTGACTGGGGAGTCTGTTTTATATGGAAATATTTTCAAGATATTCCTTAAGAAGAAAGGAACACTCCTGGGTTGATGGAAATAATGCTGAATTTACTGTCTCCTCATGCACTCCAATTTATAGCAAGAAAAATGCAAAGGTCACATTCATTTTCAGCACTGAAAACCAGGAATATACTTAGCACTTAATCTCAGTTTTCTCTCTTAAGATCGTGTAAGGTCAACAATGGGGCATGTGATCTGTGTATTGATTGAAAATACTGTGCCTGGTATGATGGCACATGGTTATAATCCAAGCATCAGAATGTTGAGGCAAAATTCCAAGTTCAAGGCCAGCCTTGAACAACAAGACCATCTCAAGAATGAAAGAAAAAGAAAATATTGATAGATTAAGTGGCTGTTGTGCTGAGAGCAGGGCCATGTACCACCAAGACTCAGATACATGGCTTTCATAGGAAGATTCTGTACCATGGCAGATGTATTTTTAGAAATTCTAAGGTGACAAGATACTTTCAGGGTCAGTGAGGTCCTATAATTTTCTCCTTCCTAGAATGTGTCCTAGAGATATGAATGTGTTGATATTCAACATAGTCCATAAGTCAAGTGAAAACTGAGTTGTGCTGACTTCCTCAAGAATGTGGGAAAAGACTTGGTATGCATTTAGTTGTACAGGTACTCTTCTGGCCAGTTCCATTTCCTGTCTCTGTGGATCTGATGTGAAACACAGTATGGGGCAGGTTATAACCACTTGCAGGGATGATACTATGGCTAATGAAATGCTCATGAGAAATCCAAACAAGGAAATACTTCATTTTCTAAATTTTCAGAAGTCAGAACAAATGAAAGGACATTATTAGTATTTAGACTTAACACAGATTCACTTTCTATGAAAATGTAATGTCTGGACTTTTTTTCCTTATGACACCTAAGGAGGATGTATTGATAAGGAATGATTTGAATGTAACTTTGTGAATGTGTGTGGAAAAATATAAACCAGGGATTTAGCCTTAATAAAGGTAACTTTTCTGAAATCTGTTGTTAATCCCCCTTTGTACTCATATCCTATATCTGCACTCTGTTGAGATGTCATACTGCACACTGTATTATAAAATAAAGTGAAATTATGTTTAAAATTTTAAAACCTGAGTACTTCCTCTTGCTATATCTGCTACCATTCAGATTTCCACACTGTCCTCTTCTAAGTTTGCCGCAAGCAACAACATGGAATTCTGGTTGGAGCACAAATTATCTTTCCTTGTTGACTATGGGGAGTGTTCTCTGTTAGTAGACGTGTAGGTAGATGTTGCCTTATTGACATGGACAAGGCACTAAGGGCTGTCAGCATAAAGCTTGGGGGTGGAGAGGCATTCTGTAAGGCAGATTTATCATAAGTATAGCCAGTGTCTTGAGGACACTTGAGGGTAGCACCTGAGTTGTTAAATAGATGATATACTTCATTTCTTCCCATTTTTCTCTCTAGGCCCTTCTGAATCTCCCAAAAGACACAGTTATATACCAACATGAAGGTATGTGTATATACCTCTAACCTACCCATTTTCTATCCCTGGACCAGACCATGTCAATGCCACCCAACACTCATGATCAATTATCGTTTTTTGTTCCTTTTTAACAAATTCTAAACATGACATCACCTTTTGTAGGCAATTAAAAACCAATAAATACCAGAGTTCTGTTGAAGCCACATGATTCACTGATATAAGCTAAATGTTTGCTTTAGTAAAAAAGTAAATAATATAGGTCCTACCCCTACCTTTTATTTCTGCCTCTGAAATTAGGATTCACTTGACTTGTATTCTAGCTATGCTGCTGTGTTTACCAAACTAAGCCTTAATTTCCCCAACAAAATAAAATGTTGGGAAATTAAATATTAAGTAGTTCCATGCTATTTACTTTTAAAATTCTTATTTTCCAATCAATAAATTTATACTCAATCTGAGATTTTGTTTTGTAAGCAACAGTAAGTTTCTTACAAATTAGCTCCTCTATAATAAGGTTGGTATCTTACCTTTAAACATAAAGTTTTGGGTGTGTTTTTTTTTTAAGTCTTAAATATGAGGGAAGCAGGAAAGGGACAAGAGGGTGTTAAAAACTCTTTAAAGGTAGACTACTTGCCTAAAACAAGTTGCAAGCAATGCTGAGTAGACTGAGGGTGTGGCTCAGGTGGTGGAGGCCCTACCTAGCAATCTTCAAAGGCCCTGATTTTAAGTCCCAATCCCAGAAAGGAACAGGAAAAATAAGGCTGAGGAATGGATAGTCATGCCAAACCAAACAGTACCAGAAATATCAGCAATCAACCTGATAGGGACACTCAATTGCCTCATATTTATAAATGAAAACAAATTATTTAGATTCTAGTAAAACTATCTTATTAAAATGGGAATTAGTATTTTCTTAGATTAGGAAAGAAGTATTATAAAGCCCTCTTAATTCATGGCATTTATTAGTACCCAAAAATGCAGTCATTGTTACAACATAAATCATTTAGTGAAACACTGATATGGGGATCAGGTAACAAAGGTTACCTTAACATATCTACAGGAAAAAGCTTTCTGGACATCAATGCAAGTCACTGATCTGAGCATAAGGACATTAGTATTCTTAGCAGTAAGATAACATTTTTTTAAAAAAAGATGTCAATTTTACTTCTTGTAATATAATTACATTTAAATTGGCAGAACTGCTCCCATGACAGACAAGAAACCTGTCGTGCAAGAAAAAGTAAGTGAAGGTTTCCATAAAGCTTAAGGCAGAAGTATCATAGTAACACAAGAGTGGCTAGAGCAGTCTCAACAGTGCCAAAGTCTACGAGCAAATGGGTAGGAATGAAGACCGCCACAGCATGAGCCTAAGACCACCAATGTTTTCTAAAGCTATTTCTTAAGATGCCTGCTAACACATCACATACAACAGCTGAAATGGAATAGTGTGAAACTTACATGGATTAAATCCTATAAATTACCAGGCAGGTTCTACAATCTCTTTCAGCTGTGGTACGTGGTTATTGAATTAGGATTCTGCAGGTTCTCACAGGACACCAAGGTAAATTTTACACCCAGTGAATTTTTTAGGTTAAAAAATAAATAGCCACACAAAACCTACACATTAAATTAAAATGGAGCCAAGTGTTGGGTGTTTCCAGAGAGGCAGAACAGGAAGGATTATTCAAAGAGAAGATCTTCGTCCTTCTCTTCAGCCAGAAGGTTTGCAGGCTCCATCACTTCTCCAGCTGCCCTCCGTTGCTCCAAGTCCTTCTCAGATTTTTCCTTGAGAATCTTTTTCTTCTCCTGTATTTTCTTTAACCTGCCAGATGAAGGGCGAAATTTTCTGGATGATATTTCAGTACTTAATAGACTTGATTTTTTAAGTTTTCTAACAAGAATAACACAAAACTAGAACAAAGTTTGATACTCCAATTAATTTCAATAAGCCATTTTAACAAATATTTAAGGTACAATATAGTTAATAATTGATTTAAAAAGCGCTATCCTAGGTTAAAGAAAATGTGGAACCTATTTTTTTAATGGAACAGATTTTGAGCATTCAGATATTAAAGTTTTGGGTCAGCACAATGCTGACCATAAAGGACAGAAACAATAATTTGATAAGATTATCAATAATACATCATCATACTCAGGCTGCTCAAAGTCTAAGACCAGCAAACTTCCTTAAACATTCCTGCTTTGGTCTACTCTCACTTCTCTGAGCCCAGTGTACCAACCCCTTTACCAATTTAAATTTATTCCCATTGGCTCTTAAAACTTCATAACCAACTCATGGACTGCATGCATCAATTCTCAGCATGTACTGTGCTAATTCTCTAATGGTACAATTTATGCTATTTGGTAATGCCCCAAGTTCTTTATACTATCTACTTAACATGCAATACGTATTTCCTGACTAATTACAGCTTTATCAGTTTTTATGTAGAAACACCCCAATCTAAATCAGTGTTTAATCATAAAAAATAAGTCTTAAATTTTGGAGATGTTATGTTTTAGATATGTAAGAAATGTCTCCACAGCCTTTGGCAATATACCAGTCATTTTTTTGGGGTTTTGGTCAGTTGTGGGGCTTGAACTCTGGGCCTCGGCACTATCCCTGAGCTCTTCAGCTCAAGGCTAGCATTCTACCACTTGAGCCATAGTGCCACTTCCGGTTTTCTGGTGGTTAATTGGAGATAAGAGTCTCACAGATTTTCTTGCCTTGGCTGGCTTTGAACAATCCTCAGATCACTGCCTCCTAAGTAGCTAGGATTACAGGGGTGAGCCACCAGCACCTGGCAGCAGTCACATTTGTGTGCAGGGAGTATGTTCCAAGACCTGCAGTGGATGTCTAAAACTGAATAATGCTAAACCTTATGAATACTAATCATCTGAACTTCACATCCACCTATTAAGCCAACCATAAACTGAACATTATACATGTGTTTGATAAAATTATGTACAGTTAGAAATTAACTTATTTATTTTTAAGTCAAGAACTTTTCTTATTTTTTCTTTGTCAGTCATGGGGCTTGAACTTTGGGCCTGGGCGCTGTCCCTTAGCTCTTCAGCTCAAGGCAAGCGCTCTACCACTTGAGCCACAGTGCCACTTCCAGTTTTCGGGTGGGTTATTGAAGATAAGAGTCTCATGGACTTTTCCTGCCCACGCTGGCTTTGAACCGCAATCCTCAGCTCTCAGCCTCCTAATTAGCTAGGATTACAGGCGTGAGCCACCGGCACCCAGTCAAGAACTTTTCTTTTCCCTTAAAGAAAAACAACTTTGTGAATTTCTAGCATCTCTATATTGTGAGTCCATCATTATATACATTGAGCTATGTGAACACAATCACTGCAATATCAGACAGGCAACAGTCAGCTCAGAGAACTGAGATGGCTGCTATGTGGCTGTAGCCAGGCAGCATCTGCACTGTGGCTATGCTGGACAAAGGACCATTTACCTAACAGTGGAACAGTCAGATCTGACTTTGCTTTATTATAAAGCATACAACTGAGAACTTACAAATTATTTCTTCATTTTCCATTTATTTTCAGCCTTCAGTTGACCATAAGTACTGACCTTAAAATCACTGGAAACCGCATAAAAGTAGGGCTACTATATTGTCAAAGGCTAAGGATATGTTTTGAAAATATGTAACATAGCATTTCCTCCCAAAAAATCTTTCTTCTTTTTGGAGATGAGGTTTGCCATGGAGCCCAGGCTAGCTTAGAACTCATGATTCTCCTGCCTCAGGCTCCCAAGTACACCACCATACCTACAACTTGTCAAAAAAAATTCAAGCTGTGCTAATTCCACAGAATATAAGCCAACTAGTCACTCAGCAAATTGAGCCTTTGGAATATGAGGAGAAAAAAAATTAAAAGATCAATAACTGCCAGTTTCAACAAACCTATAGAACTCTTCCCGCTCTCTTTCATCCAGCTCTGTGATGATATAAGCAAGGGTACGTTCAATCCGGGGAATGATGACTAGAGTTTAAAAAAATATATATGTGAGAACTTCTGAGCCCCCTTCCTTCCAAATTACCAATGCACATTTGTTAATTTTTTTAAATTGTACAACTAAATACATATTGAATGCACCAAACTTAGACAACAAAAACAAAAAATTACAATGAAGTATACCCCAGACATCCAAAAGTAGCAATTATGTTTTCTGTGCACAGAAAACCTTAAACTGTAATAGATCCAACACCAGATTTCTACTGCTATGTTTATATATATATATATATATATTTTTTTTTTTTTTTTTTTTTTTTTTTGGTCCAGTCGTGGGGCCTGAACTCTGGGTCTGGGCGCTGTCCCTCAGCTCTTCAGCTCAAGGCTAGCACTCTACCACTTGAGCCACAGCGCCACTTCTGGCTTTTTTTCTTTTTGCTTATGTGGTGCTGAGGAATCGAACCCAGGGCCTCAGGCATTCAAGGCAAGCGCTCTACCACTGAGCCACCTTCCCAGCCCTCTTTAAACATTTCTTTAATGGAAACTAAGGTTCTTTGAGCAAAAAGCATTATTATTATGTAGCTATGTCCTTAAAATAATGAAATGAGTTGTAAAATAAATGCATCCAAGTAGGAATTTTACTTTTAAAAATCAAAAAGAATGGCCTAAAGGAGAGGAACATAAAACATATTCAAAAAAATAAACTGCTCAATAATCAGAAGAAAGTAAACATGAAACTCCTGAGAAAGTTTCTACCTCTTATTAAACACACAAATGACTAGAAATGAATGCAACATTCCATAATCTTACCAGGGTTGTCGTTAACACCCCCCCCAAATTATACACATACATTTCCCCCTTCTTTACTGACACTTGCTCTTCACTAAGACAGTATCTTCCTTACCTTTCAGTCTTAAGCACCCAGTGAATCCTAGCAGCTGTTAGCAAGTGGGGAAGGAATGGACAAGTAGATAACAAAGCACTGACAGCTCTGACTTACCATGCTCAATGGCATTCACACGCCTGTTGGTTATCTTGATAGCTTCATCCAGAGTCACAAAGGAAGTCTAAAGAGGACAGATTAATAATGACAGCACCAAGTCTTCCTAACTATGTTCAGCTCTACTCAGACTAGACTTAAGAATGCATTTTGGAAAACAAAGACAATCTCTTGTCAGTACACTTAAAAAGCACAGTTTCTATGAGATTTTTCATATAGCTAGCACTATTGTGATGTTAAAACTAATTACTTTGGACTCATTGAAATAAAGACATAAAAGTGACAAGAGGCCAGGTGCCAGTAGCTCCTTGCTACATAGGAGGCTGAGATCTGAGGATCATGGTTTGAAGCCAGCCAAGGCAGGAAAGTCTGAGACTTTCATCTCCAATTAACTGCCAAAAAGCTAGAAGTAGAGCTGTGGCTCAAGTGGTAGAGCACCATTCTTACCATCCTGGGTAGCATCTAGGCCCTCAGTTCAAGCCCCAGGACTGGCACAAAAAATAAAGTAACAAGAAGAGAGAATCACTAATATAACCTAATAAATAATCTGCAAAAGGAAAAAATGACTTCCACACACAAACCATGTTATTTTGTGTGTGTGTGTGTGTGTGTGCGCTCAGGGAATTTGGTGGCTAACTGGAGATGAAGGCATATGACCAACTTTCCTGCCTGAGCTGGTTTCGAACCAGTGATTCCCAGATCTCAGCCTCCTGAGTAGCTAGGACTACTGGTATGAGCAACCACTGCCAGGCTTATTTTTGCATTTAAGTCTAGCCAAGCAAAGTATGAAATTGGACTACATGTATTTTTTTAGAAAATAAAATGTAGGGATAATTGTGCAGAAGCCACATTTCAGAAATCAAAACATAAGCTGGGCCCCGGTGACTCATGCCTGTAATCCTAGCTAATCAAGAGGCTGAGATCTGAGGATCACAGTTCAAAGCCAGCCCGGGCAGGAAATTCCGCGAGACTCTTATCTCCAATAAAGCACTAGGTGCTGTGGCTCAAGCAGTAGAGCTCTTGCTTTGAGCTGAAGAGCGAAGGGACAGCGCCCAAGCCCAGAGTTCAAACCCCATGACTGACAAAAAAAAAAAGAAATCAAAACATTAGGTTTGTTTCTCACAGGACCATACACAGCTAAAATTACAAAGCCCAGTAAAGTCCAGCACAGGCTAGGAATGTCCTCCACTTGACTACTAGAATCAGAATTGTCTAGCTCTGCGTTTGCTGACCTGCAGTGAAGCCAGTTCCACCAGAAGTTCCACTGCTTTGGCATAATTCCTCTTTAATTTAGCCAACTGTTCCCCACCTCTGGCTAAACCGGTCAGTTCATAACCTGCAACAACCAGTCAGACAACATTTGTAACTAGAGAGAAAATAATCCTCTCCAATAAAATTCCAAAAGGAAAACAATTAAGAAAAACACCAAACATAGACACAAATCCACAAAATCCTGTTAAATACAAACATTAAGTACCCATTTCACTTTGTAGTCATTATAGGAGCATGCTAAATTTTTCTACAAGGATACTATTATAGAGGAGAAAAGTGAGTGTGTAAGTGTGTGTGTGTGTGTGTGTGTTTTGCTAGGGATTGAACCTTGAGTGTCATCCCAGGCAAGCTTCCATCCCCAGCCTTCAGAAGAAACTTTAACAAACCTTCAGTGCCTAGCTCACTGATTTAACACCTCTATTCCCTTTGGGAACTCTATTGCCTGGTGTCATAGTAGAAAGATGTTCTCTGATAAGAGGTAGATCATGTTTGATTTGTTTATATGAGCCATACTTAATATTCTACATGATTTGAATAAATAGTATATGACCAGTAACACATAACTTGAAAAAAATAAGCCAGGCGCCAGTGGCTCACACCTGTAATCCTAGCTACTCAGGAGGCTGAGATCTGAGGATCGCGGTTCAAAGCCAGCCTAGGCAGGAGAGTACATGAAATTCTTTTCTCAAATAAACCACCAGAAAACTGGAAGTGGCGCTGTAGCTCAAGTGGTAGAGAGCTAGCCTTGAGCTGAAGAACTGAGGGACAACGCTTAGGCCCACAGTTCAAGCCCCATGACCAACAAAAAAAAAAAGAAAAAGAAAAAATATTGTTTCTATGGGAAAAAAGTTCCTTTACTTGGAGAAGACTAAGTAAATATGAATTATTACCATCAAAATATTATCGAACTAGGAACAGAATGGATGACACAAATTACAAATAAGGGGCTGGGAAGGTGGCTCAGTGGTAGAGTGCTTGCCTTGCATGCCTGAGGCCCTGGGTTTGATTCCTCAGCACCACATAAGCAAAAAAAAAAAAAAAAAAAGCCGGAAGTGGCACTGTGGCTCAAGTGGTAGAGTGCTAGCCTTGAGCTGAAGAGCTGAGGGACAGCGCCCAGGCCCAGAGTTCAGGCCCCATGACCGGACCCAAAACAAAAACAAAAAAACAAATTACAAATAAATAGGTGGGCTAGAAATATAGCATTCAAATTATATCACCACATTTAAGATCATATTCTACTTTAAAAAGACAAAGACTTTGCTTAAAAACTGGAAATTATAAACAATGTATTACTAGTGTTGCATAATAAGTTATTGAAGTTTAAAAAGCCTTTTTTTGGCTGGTCCTGGGGCTTGAACTCAGGGCCTAGGTACTGTCCCTGAGCTTTTGCTCAAGACTAGCACTTTACCACTTAAGCCACAGCTCCACTTTTGGCTTTTATAAGTGGTATTAGAAATTAGAAATAAGAGTCTCATGGACTTTCCTGCCAGGGCTAGCTTTGAACCATGATCCTTAAATCTTAGCCTCCTGAGCAGCTAGGATTACAGGCATGAGCCACCAACACCTGGCTAAGGTCTCGTTTGTAAATGACAAATGAACACACAAGGATATGCTTCTAAGTTAAAATTAAGTATTTTAAGATATGGGCAAAATTTATTCCTGACCATCTATCTGAACTCTTAAAATCTGACAAGGGTGCTTTCCCAACAAGCTTCATCAAAACAGGAAGCAGAGAGGATCCCAAAGACATAGACACACATTAACATGAAAAGTTTCACACTTACTGTCAGTGCCTTCATGGTAATGTTCAAACACTGGTAAGGTAACACCTGGTAAAGAAGATGGATATATAGATTCACAAACAAGGACCTTGATCATTTTGCTTTGTTTTGTTTGTCTATTTTGGAACTCTTGATAGTCCAAATTGGCTCTAAACTCACAGTTTTCCTATTTCACCTACTCAGTGCTGGTATTTTTATAAACAAGTACTACCACTGAAGTACTTTTTTTTTTTTAAGTAATGGAGTTTTTTAATTAAGGGACTGGCCTTGCTAACAGATACACTTCACCCATGTCCCTAGCCCTTTCTAGTATAGTAATCTCATATGTATGTCCCAGCTAGCCTGGACCTTCACCCTTCTATTTATGCTTTCTGCATAGCTAGGATGACAGTTGTATACCACCACATTCAGTTTTTGTTCACTGAGATTGTTTCAAATTTTTTTTTTACTTGCCTGGACTGGCCTAGAACCTTATCCCCTGATCTCTATCTGTGAAAGTGGCTAGGAATTTAGGCATGAAACCACTCCCTGCTTAAAGTACTAGTTTTTTCTTTTTATTTTTTTAGGTGGGGTACAGTCTTAGGACTTGAACTCAGGGCCCTTAGCATTATCTAAGCATTTTTACTCAAAGCTAGTGATCTACCCCACTTGAGCCACAGCTCTACTTAGTCTAGCTTTTTGCTAGTTAATTGGAGATAGAGAGACTTACAGACTCTCCTTGCCTGGCTGGTTTCAAAACACAATCCTCAGATCTCAGCCCCCTAAGTAGCTAGGATTACAGGCATGAGCCACTGGTACCCACTTTAAGGTACCATTTCTTTTTGGGGGAGGGGATGGGGGACATTGTTTGATTTTGTTTTTGAAGTACTATTTCTTTTTTTTTTTTTTTGGTCCAGTCGTGTGGCCTGAACTCTGGGCCTGGGCACTACCTTCAGCTCTTCAGCTCAAGGCTAGCATTCTATCACTTGAGCCACAGCGCCACTTCTGGCTTTTTTCTTTTTTTTTTTTTTTTTTTTTTTTTTTGCTTATGTGGTGCTGAGGAATTGAACCCAGGGCCTCATGCATGCAAGGCAAGCACTCTACCACTGAGCCACCTTCCCAGCCCCCGAAGTACTATTTCTTAATCAGTATTTCCTATGTTTCTGTCATGAAATATTCAAAGTCAAGTCTGGAATAACAACTGGTTTTAACTGATGAATTTAATATTAATAACCTGGTTGTTAATGGTTTTAACATATAGAACCAATGAACTTGTTCTATGTAGAAGATAGAAAATGGGACATCAAGATACTGTCATAAAAGTGGTTACTTTTTTTAGCCGGGTTCAAGCCTGTAATCCTAGTTACTCAGGAGGCTAAAGTCTGAGGATTGAGGTTCGAAGCTGGCCCCAGCAGAAAAGTCCTTGTGAGACTCTTATGTCCAATTAACCACTCAAAAACTAGAAGTGGAACTGTGGCTCAAGTGGTACAGCCTTGAGCTCCAAGAGGTTCAGAATTGGCACCTAGGACTTGAGTTCAAGCCCCACAACCAACAACAACAAAATGTGGTTACTCTTTTAAATGGTTCTAAAAGATTGGTAAGTTACCTGCTACATTATCTTTCTTTGCTCGAATCTTCACTTGAGCTTTATTTACATTTTGGATAACTGTGGTACTGCAGGGGGAAAAAAAATTGTTGTCTTGTTAGAAATAAACCTAAAGCTCCATTGGATAGTTTCAACATTAAATGAGACCAAGAATGAGATGCCACAGATAAGTGTGCTTTAATCTACCTTTTACCAAAAAAAGAGAAAAATCGCAGCTATCAGATGAGGGACTCAGAGAGCAGTAAATGAACAATAGTTAAAACACTAGTCAGAAGAAAAACAAAAGAAAGATTTTAAAGTGCATGACTGTTTTCAGCAAATACAGGGATGTGATTTTACAAGTTCACAGGTTCTTATGCTAGTATAAATTTAGAGAAAATGTTCTTTCCATCTAAGTTTGCTGTTCAGTTGTTATGCTGGTGTTCAAATTCCTTTACCGTAATTTCCTTTTGGCTGCAATGTGACTCCCCATCTGGTACTATAAAATGAAGTGTTCTAAAACAGAACAATCATGTGCCACTTACCACGGAAATCCTGTCAGCAATGGCAAAAAACACTAGTCTACTCTTCTGACCTAATAACTCTCTGGTTGCAGACTTCCCAGCAGAGAAAGTTCCTACAGTAAGTAAGCCTTATGACACTGGGAAAAGAAAACTAAAACTCCTGAGAACAACTTTCACCTCAGTCCCTAACTAGTCACAAGCATTTCAACTTAGATTAACAAGGCTTATCTATAGTCCCCCCAGCAATATCTGAACAATCACAATTAAATAAATGGGCATAATCCATTTGAAAACCACATGTATACTTGTAAAGCATATTTTTTTTTTCTGCCAGTCCTGGGCTTGAACTCAGGGCCTCGGCACTGTCCCTGAGCTTCTTTTGCTCAAAGCTATCCCTCTACCACTTGAACCACAGTGCCACTTCAGGCTTTTTCTGTTTATGTAGTACTGAGGAATGAACCCAGAACTTCATGCATGCTAGGCAAGCACTCGACCACGAAGCTACATTCCCAGTCCTGTAAAGCATATTCTAATATGACGAAAGCCATAAAGTTCCTGCCTTGCAAATAAGAGTTCACTCTCAAAATTTTATCCTAAAGGAAATAATTCAAATTAAAAATGAGATATATGTATGAAGATATTCACAGTCCTTCCTTAATATTCCAAAAATCTGACAATCAACTCAAAGTTCCAGCTATAGGAGAAAAGGTTAAGAAAATATGGTACATCTTAAGAAAGATGTTACAACTATGTTAAAAATAAGCAAAATGTTGATGAGCCAATGTCAAGTGAAATAGACTATAAAACAGAAGTCACCAATAGCTCGCGCCTATAATCCTAGCTACTCAACTGAGATCTAGGGACAGTGGTTTGAAAACAGCCTGAGCAGAAGTTTGTGGGATTTTATCTCTAACCAACACAAGGCCAGAAGTGGAGCTGTGGCTCAAGTGGTAGGACATGAGCTTAAAACAAAAAAAGCTCATGGGCAGGCCCAAGCCCAGAGTTCAAGCCCCAGGCCTGGCCCGTGCGCGCGCGCGCGCGCGCGCACACACACACACACACACACACACACACACACACACACACACACACACACACACACACACACACACAAAAGGCATATGTGAATGGGAACAGACAAAGAGCTGAAATGATAGAATTCAAAGTGATCAATCTTATTACTATAGCATTTGTCTTTAATGCTTATGTGTTTTTATTTTTTTATTATTATGTCAGTAATGGTGCCTGAATTCAGGGTGTGGGTGCTGTTTGCTTACCTTTTACACTCAAGTCACAGTTGAGTCACAGTTCCATTTCCAGTCTTTTGGTGATTAATTGGAGGTAAGCATCTCATGGACTTTCCTACAGAGGGTGGCCTCAAACTTCAGTTCTCAGTTCTCAGCCTCCCAAGAAGCTAGGATTGTAGGTTAGAGCCACCAGTATCCAGCTTTGTGTATTTTTAAATTACAGTGGTAATTATGAATTGGAAAACTCTGTTTTAACACCTTACCTGAAGTCCCCTGCTGTGAACTTGGCCTCAGCAAGTGAAAAGGCAGCTTCTCTCATCACTTCACCCATCAACATTTTAGTCTGGAAAGCAGAAACCAATAACAGAGTCAACCAAGCTTTTGTAGGGAAGAAAACCACATCATAATTAAGTTCTTTCAGTAACCATCAATATTTTATGTGAGCTGTAAAATGTCAATATTTAATGTTGACTTGATAAAACAAAAATGTCCAATAACATGTTACAACCCTGAGTCTTATCATTAAAACATTAATAGGGATGCGAGGGGGAAAACAGGAGAGAAAAATGGAAGAGGCGACATTGACCATGAAGCATTGTGCTCATAACCTGACTTATGAAATTATAACCTTTTTGTACAACTACTTATTAATAATAAAGAAAAACATTAAATTCATTAATAAATGCAAAACTAAATCTTCACTGAGGGACTCACCTTTCCTATTGATTTGCTCAAATTAGTCTCTTAAATTCATTTCCGGTAAAGTCAAAATCTGAATGACCTACAATGTGCCAGCACTACTCGAAGTACTAGACATACAGGGCTGAAAAGACAAAGTCCTTGCTCTCTTAAACTTACATTCTCTAATGTGGAGAGAGAAATATATCAAGCAAGAAAATACCATTCAGTAGTACTAGCTTTGATTTAAAAAAAAAAAAGATGTGACAAAGTAAAATTGGTAGTTACGTAAGATTGGGAGGACAGCAATCTCTGAAGAGACTAAAATACCTGGAAGAGCTAGTCAGAAGTAGTTCTGGGGAATGAACATCTTAGAAGATGAAGAAATCGGGCTGAGAAAATATGGCTTAGTGGTAGAATGCTTGCCTAGCATGCATGAAGCTCTGGGTTCGATTCCTTAGTACCACATAAACAGAAAAAGCCAGAAGTGGCTCTGTGGCTCAAGAGGTAGAGTGATAGCCTTGAGCAAAAGAAGCTCATGGATAGTGCCCAGACCCTGAGTTCAAGCCCCAGGACTGGCAAAAAATAAAAAATAAAAAGATGAAGAAATAGCTCATGGAAAGACCCGGAGAAAATCATTAGGAAGAATACTCCAAATGAGGTCAAAGAGGCAGGCATAAACCAGGTCAAGTGGCTTTGTAAGCATAATTCAGGAGTGTCAATTTTAGAAAGTGAAGTATCTGAAACTAAAATCTTTATGTAAGTACACTACCATATTTCAATACCTGTTATAATGGCATTTTTAATTTTGGAAGGAAAGAAAAGAATTCAAATAAGCAGAAATTAAGAGTTAGGCATTTAGTAGTAAAATGTGTGCTTAAAATGTACAAGGCCCTGGATTGAATCCCCAGGACCAAAAAGAAAAGAAAAACGAAGTTTAAACGCCAATGGTCATACTGGATTTTTCTTGAATACTTATAAAAAATACTATTCTAAGTAAAGTGCATTCTACCTCTATTATCTTCTTTAAGATCTGTCGAAACCGAAGAGTTAAGGCATCAGATTTTTTCTTCAGGAGGTTTCGACCTGTCTGAGCTCCTTTTAAACGAGCCTTCATGATGGTCTGTGCCCTACATAAACAAAAACATTTATTGTTACTGTTTAAAAAACACAATAATACCTCTGGAACACAGAGTTAAAATTACCTTATATTCTATTTTCCGGTTTTTGAGACAGATCTCACTATGTAGCATAGGTTGGCCTCGAACTCACAATCCTTCCTCAGGTTCGGTGTTTTATTCTTTTGATGTAATAAGTATAAGAAGACACATTTGTAGCTGACAAACTGTTTTCTTTTATGTTTTTATTGTAGAAATAGTGTACAGAGGAGTTAGAGTTACATGAGTAAGGTAAATCATTTCCTATCCAGCGTTGTTACCTCCTCCTCTGTTTATCCCCTACCATCCTTTCCCCCCCACCTTCCAAACTCCTCCCCCCCACCAAGTTGTAAAGTTCATTTTCAACATAGTGTCTTGTACATCTCATTGTTACAATGGGTCAACCTGTATCCTTATTTAAGCACTTTGTTATTTTGTTAAGCATTTTCTATTCCCAAATTAGAAATATGTATATACAAGATGCAAGACACGGAAGTGGCGCTGTGGCTCAAGTGGGAGAGCGCTCACCTTGAGCTAAAGAGCACAGGGATAACGCCCAAGCCCAGAGTTCAAGCCCCACAACCGACCAAAAAACAAACAAACAAACAAAAAAAAAAAAAAACAAATAGGCCAGGCTAATAATAAATATCAGTAAAAAAAAAAAAAAAGATACAAGACACTTGGGGCTGGGAAGGTGGCTCAGTGGTAGAGTGCTTGCCTTGTATGCAGGAGGCCCTGGGTTTGATTTCTCAATAAACAGAAAAAAACAGAAAAAGCCGGAAGTGGCGCTGTGGTTCAAGTGGTAGAGCGCTAGCCTTGAGCTGAAGAGCTGAGGGACAGCGCCCAGGCCCAGAGTGCAGGCCCCACGACCAGACCCAAAAAAAAAAAAAAAAAGATGCACGACACTGACACAAATACAGTGAAAATAGGAGTTATATCATGGGGGAAGCACATACAAAAGAAGCAAAAAATCACATAGTACATTTTAAGTACATTAAAAACAATAGCAAGCAAGAAAAAAAAAAGCTGTGTCCCTATCTTGGGGTTCATTTCACTTAACATCATCTTATATAGTTATATATACATAGCTTTTGACCTTTTCTGCTTGTCCTAGACTTATACTAGTTATTGCAAATAAGAGAAACCTGGAACCTATGTTTCTTTGGCCCTGGCTTACTTCACTTAATATAATTTTTTCCTAGTTATTGCAAATGAGGGAAACCTGGAACCTATGTTTCTCTGGGCCTGGTTTACTTCACTTAATATAATTTTTTCCAAGTCTTTCCATTTCCTAACAAATGGGGCAATGTCATTCTTTTTGATGGAGTCATAGAATTCCATTGTATGTATGTGTGTGTATACATATATGTATACATATATATATTCATCTACTGAGGGGCATCTGGATTGGTTCCATATCTTAGCTATGGTAAATAATTCTGTGATAAACATAGTTGTGCTGGTAGCTTCAGTATAGTCTTGTTTGTGATTATTTGGGTAAATGCCCAAAAGTGGGATTGCTGGATCATAGGGGAGCTCTACTGCTTTCCAAAGTGGTTGAACAAGTTTACACTCACACCAACAATGCAGTAGGGTTCCCTTTTGACCACATCCCCTCCAACATCTGTTGTTATTAGAGTTCTTGATTTTAGCCATTCTAACTGGGGTGAGGTAGAATCTCAATGTTGTTTTGATTTGCATTTCTTTTGGGGGGGGGGGCGTCCAGTCGTGGGGCCTGAACTCTGGGTCTGGGCGCTGTCCCTCAGCTCTTCAGCTCAAGGCCAGCGCTCTACCACTTGAGCCACAAAGCCACTTCTGGCTTTTTTCTTTTTGCTTATGTGGTGCTGAGGAATCGAATCCAGGGCCTCATGCATGCAAGGCAAGCGCTCTACCACTCAGCCACCTTCCCAGCCCCTGATTTGCATTTCTTTTATGTGCTAGAGAAGTGGAGCCTTTCTTCATGTGTCTATTGGCCATTCTTATTTCCTCTTCAGAGAGAATTCTCTTTAAGTCTTTAGCCCACTTGTTGATGGGGTGGTTGTTTCTTTGAGGATTTGTTGTTGAGTGATTTAGTTTTTTGAGTTCTAAGTATATTTTAGATATAAGACCCTTGTCCATTATATTGCTAGAGAAGATCTTCTCTTTTTGTGGGCTTTCGATTGATCTTGCTAGCTATGTCCTTTGCCATGCAGAAACTCTGAAGTTTCATGCAATCCCATTTGTCCAATCTTTCTTTGATTTGTTGTGTTTCTGGGTCTTTATTAAGAAAATTTCGGCCTGTGCCAAGGAGCCCTACAGTTTCTCAACTATTCCTTCCTGTAATGTTTTCAGGTGTCTGCTTTGACTTCAAGGTCTTTGATCCATTTGGAGCTGATTCTGGTGCAGGGTGATATATAATGATCTAGCTTTACTTTTCTACAGGTGTTAAAGCTGTAGAACCTGCCAGCACCATTTTCAACTGTTTTCTTAATGCTACAGTTTTCTACCATCAGTGTTCTATAACAACTTCATTTACAATAAAAACAATTCTACAATCAATATATGAAAAGGTAATCATAAATCCTAATAAAAATTACCAAAAACTTTATTTTGATGCTAGCATAATCTAAGTATTTGTTTTGTAATTTAAATGGTATTTAATAATGTTTCAGTTGCCACTAAAGATATATATGGAAAAAATCTATTCCACAGTCTATGATTGAAATTTGGAAGTTGAACGATGCTTACCTAGCATTCACAAGGCTCAAGGTTCAATCTACAGCACAGCAACCACACAAAAGTTTGGAATTTGGCCAAGGTAAAATGATTCACACCTGTTATCCTGGCTAGGAGGCAGAGAGCTGGAGGATCTAGGTTCGAGCCAGTCGTAGCAAGAAGTTCACAAGACCCCATTTCAACAGAAAAAAAAAAATGTTGGGCATTGTAGCATGCACTTATACTAGCGACAGGCAAAATATTAAATAGAAAATATCAGTTCAGGCCAGACCAGGCAAAAAAAATGCTTTTTCAAAAGTAAGCAGAGAAAAAAATGGCTTAGAGGTATGGTTCAAACTAGAGTACCTACCTAGCAAGACTTGAAGTCCCCTGAGTTCAAACTTTAGTACAAAAAAAAAAAAAAAAAAAAAAAGCAGCAGCAGCAGATGAACAGTCTTTGGAAAGCAGTTAGCAGTGGCAGACTTAGCACTGACTGGTCTCAGCAGAAGTCTAATCTAGTGCAACCGGTTCCGTTTCCAGCCTGAGCAGGAGTTATCCACCCCAATATGTACAGTTAACATTCTCTCTTGTTGACATGAAATACCAGAATTTCGGCTTAAAGAGTTGGATCAAAAGGGGTGAAATCCCAGTACTACAGATTCCAGTAAGTTTAAATTAGAAAAGTGAACAGACTGATGAAACTGAGTTTACTCTGTCGATTTAAATTTCCTCCTGGATAATGGCACCTCTGTGAAATGGGACAATTTTCAATTAGAGACTTTTCAACTAGACTCTAATTTTCAATTAGAGGCTTCAATTAGAGTTTGGTCTCTTTTTATTGTGTGTGTCTATGTCTGTGTCTGTATATCCGGGTTGGGGGTTCTTTTGACCTGGGATTTATTTGAACTCTGAGCCTTACGCTTGTTAGGCACCACTTAAGCCACTGGCCCTCAGCTCTCTTCACTTTCTCAGCTCCTTTCCTGGGAAGAGGGGTGGCCCAGGCCACCTTTCCTACTTACGCTTCCTACATAGCTGGATAACAGACATGAGCCACCCAGAATGTCTAGATTTTTTTTGGTAAGACAGAAGTCTTGCTAACCTTTTGCCGGGGTGGCCTCAAACCATGGTCCTCCTGATCACCAATGCAACTGGCAAAAGTTGCTTTTCAATATTGATCACTTTTTTTCTTTTGTGAGACCATAGTTTGATCTCAGGATCTTGTGCTTAACAGACAGGCAATCTCTTACTAGAGCCATACCTCCAGCCCTCAAGTATTGAAACTCTTGAGTGACTTGCCCAAGCACTCACAGCTAATATGTAGTAGGAACCAGGATTCGTGTAAGTTCTTTTGACCATGAATCTTTCATGCCTAAGGAGGCATGAAGCTTCCATTCTAAACTTGTTTTCATGGTGTAAAAGTGAGTGAAAGCAACATTCCCCAGGCTCATACAATAAAATGGACTGTAACCAGGATAATCAAAACCTCTTCGTTTATATGCTTCAGAACTGGCTCAGCTATACCAAGAAAAAAAATTTTGACCTTCAAATAAGACAATGACTTCTTTTCCACTGAATCAAAAACATCTGACTACATGACAAAGAATTGGCTGTCAAGCTTTGGGGAAAATATTTACTTCATGCATCTGATTTTCCTCTCAATTAGCATGGCAGACACTCTTAAACAGCAGTTTTCACCTTCACAAACCTATCATTTTTCTTTTCTAAGCTCAAAGAAGTCCATTCTCACCTGTTGGTCTACAAGTTCCAAAATAAAGACAAAAACATGTTAGCATTCTACTGATTATATATAACCAGACTTTAGTTAAAATACTGAAAAATAATTTTATTTGATAACCACTGACAGTGGAGGAAAGAGCTGAGCTCCACTCAGATTTGTACACAGGTGACTGGACATTTTACATGGAAGGAGACAGCATGCCTCAAGTAGTCAGTGAAATGAGTAATGATTAAAAGGGTTGGTCAGTGTCAAGTGATTACCAGGTATGTCTGCTAGCTGGCAATTATGAAAGTTAAGATTCTATCCTGCCCCAGAAACTGAGATACGCTATCCTTCCTAATAATTACATTTCAAAGGGATAGCAATTAAATGTAAACTTTTTTAAATAAATGCTCTCGAAGAAAGGAGTTCAAGATGTATCAATCCAGGTGTTGACTAGAACAAATAGTTAATTCCCCTAGCAGCTTTGAACTGCTGGTATATTTATTTTTTGGTGCTATGGATCAAATCTAGTGCCCTGTTCGTGCCAGGCTGATGCTCTGTGCTCACTAACTCAATAGCACTTTATTTGATGGTACCGGAGTGTTTGAATTCAGGCCCTCACATTTGTTAGGTAAGTACTCTACCACTTGAGCCATGCCTCCAGCTCTATTTGCTTGTTCTTTTCCAGGTAGAATATCACATTCTTTGCCTGGGCTGGCCTCCAACTTTTGATCTTTCCCATGGGTGGGTATGACAGATGTGAAACACCATATCTGGCTTACTGACTGGGATGAGGTCTTGCTAAACTTTTGCCTGGGTAAGTCCCAAACTTTGCTCCTCCACCTCCAGAGATTACAGGCCTTCAGTACAGAGATTTGGGAGGATATTCGGGGAGTTTTGACTTCATCCCTGCTTATTTCTGATCTTAATCTATTCTATAGGCATTGCCTTTCAATGAAGATTTCCCACCTAGTAAAACCAACCACTAGAAAAATCGATGGGATGAAGGTAAAATCAAATGTAACAATTCTAAGAGCTGGAGACACCCTACCCCAGCAAGCAGTTTGGAGTTTGATTGTAAGCATTTTATATTGTGTCCCCAATTCTGTGAGAAAAAGGATAGAATGAGGAAAAACACAATTAAGATAAGAAAAAACACAAAAAGTTAAAAATACAATAGCCAAAGGCAAAACTGAATTTCTTCTTCACTAATAAAAAGACAAAGGGAAGGAGAAGGAGGCAAATAATCTTCACTCTTCACAACCATTATGTGCATCTGAGAAAACGAATATTTTCTTTACAAACACGCCAAGGACCTACGGTGCTGTCATTTTTCCTAACAAGATATCATTGCCGAAAGAGAGGCAGCCCACAATTGAACAGATTCCAAGAAATGAGCTCAAGGAACATTCTCTCTCTCTCTCTCTCTCTCTCTCTCTCTCTCTCTCTCTCTCTCTCCCTCCCTCCCTCCCTCCTTCTTTCTCTCTCATTCTCTCCTCCCTGCCCCTCTCCCTCGTTCTCCCCCCCCCCCCCCCGTATGTGTATCTTCTACTGATTAAAAATCAAGATACTTCATCCTGGAGGGAGCACAAAGACTGGTGGAAGAGAAAGACATGCAATAAAAAGCCACTTAAAACGTGATGAATGGTATTCTAGTAATAGAATAGTCTGAAATATTAATAGAAAGTCTGAAAAGGTGCCGTTTTAATAGTGCTAATGTCTCAGAAACGCGAGACTCTTCCCATAGCAGGTGGTGACACTGACGGGATCTTGGGAAGTGAGCAAAGAAAACCAAGATTGAATCCAACGTCCGTGCTAAGAATGGATTCAATCCCCACTCTGGCTTAAGAACCTAGAGTGCGTGGCAGTAAACTTCCTTTTTACCGAGCATTTATCGAAGCTCCATCGAGAGGCGACGATTCCGTTATGCAAAGCCAGAATGGCTCCACAAGGGTGTGTGGAATGAATGACTTCATTAAGGAGTAAAGACAGTGGATCGCCCCAAGGCCAGCAGGCCAAAGCCCGGCTGGGAGCGCTCTCCCTGCCCCAGGTTCACTCAGGAGGAACGTGTGGCCGAGCGGCAAGGCTGAGCCTAGATTCACGAACGCAAAGACCCTGGGAGTCGAGTTCAGGAGCAGACCCAGGAAGGAAGGCGCCCTAGTGGGGCGTCCAGGGTCGGGAGGAATCGCGCTCGGAACAGACATCCTTGAACCTGCGGGCGCCACTTACATTCGCGAAGGGAAGATCTCAATCCGGTCTTTGCCCGACATTGTAACGATGACCACTCGGCTCGGGCAACCTTGGCTGCAACAGCTCCAATACCGTACTCTTCAGCGCCTGCCCAACACCGGAGTCAGCTGATTGTGTCACCTGATCTCCGGTGCGAGGAGGCACCAGTGGTGCCCATCTCTCATTTCCGCTTCCTGGACAGAGGAGGCGGGCGGAACGAAAACGATGCCCGGATGTTGAGGCGCGCGCACAGCGGAATTCCGGTTCGCCTGGCAGCCCCTCCTCCCTCACCTCCCAGGCCGCTGCACAAATCGCTGTCCGCGTTGCCTGAAAGAAGAGGAGAGATTCACACGCCTTCTCTCCTTCCGTTTTTGTTTCTTCGTTTTTAGTTACAGCGCCGTCTTATGGCTGATTTAAGCACTGAGAGATTTGCTCTTTGGAAATAAGGAATGAGTCCTACATCTTTCCTTACGCCTTGGAGATTACTTAGCAAAATAATAATCATAAAACGACCTTTCCAAGTCCTTCTGTAAGGGGCTGACACTTTTTCTTCTTGGAGGACTCAAACTCTATGATCCATGTGGTGAGGAGGTGCCTTTCCCGTCGGCGCCTGCGCAGTGCGAGGCGGCTCCGCATGCGCGGTAGGGTCGCGTGAGGCGCACGCTGAAGCAGCTCGGCGGCTGGTGTGGGTGTCTCGGGTCGGATTGCTCCGATTGAAGAGTGCGGCGTGGACCTTCGTGCGGGACTCTCACGTATCTCAGGTAACTAGTCCGGCGGCTCGGTTTTCCTTAGGAGTCCCTTCCGTTTGTGTCCCTGACAGGAGTGGTGGAGACTAGGCCCTGGGCTCGCTCGCCCTCCCTTCCCGTTCCGGCGCGGGAAGTGGATGGACACAGCCGCCACCCACCGCCCGCCGGTCTGCCCCGGGCCTTGGGGTCGGCTCGGCGTAGGACGAGCGGCCTAGACAGCCTCAGTGGGCTTAGAAGGTGTCGCCTGAGTGAGGACGCCCGCACGCCCTTTTCTCTCCCCCAGAATCTCATCGTTTGGCGTGTGTGTGTGTGTGTGTGTGTTCGTGTGTGTGTTCGTGTGTGTGTTCGTGTGTTCGTTCCAGGCCTGAGAGGTTTCTCTTTCACTTCAGAAATTCTGCCGAAAAGTTCCTGTGGTTCTCAAACCGAACTGTTGTCTAAACAGCTAATCGGATGGGCCACCATATTGAAAAGAGCTTGGACCTAATTAAGTGTAGTTTATACGCTAAATAATTAAAATCCAGGTTTATGTTACCGCTCTACTCGGGCATTTTTGTAGAATGAGTCGCAAACCTTTGAAGGTAAAGCCTAGTGCTCGAGGGGTTTAGTACTGTCATTCCTGTCAGTTTGCCCTATTTCACCAGCAAAGAGACCTGAACTGTTGTCTTGTAACTATAACGTAACTAAAATCCTAAGGTTAGGGAATCTGGGACGCGAGTTAAATTGATGCCCGTATACATCCTGAGATCTCTCTAATTTTCCCCAAAGCTTAGGCTGCTTTAATTTTGATTGAAGAAGAAACAATGATCCTTGGTAAAAGGATGTAGAAGTCCCCGGTTTCTTTCAACTATGGCGGGTGCTGTCCCTGAACTTTTTTTTTTATCAATGCTAGCACAAGTTTATAACAGCACAGTTTTCAACCTATTTTTACACATATTTCATTTGACATCCCCAGTAATCCTATAAAGGTACGTGGCACAGACAAGAAAATAGAGTTCAGAGAAAATGCCTTTCCCACATAGCTACAGCCAGGTAGTAGAGTAAGGACTGAAAATACAGAGCTATTCACAAAGTTTACATGACTTCTTGCCTGACTGGACAGTGAAAATGACACAAAGGACTGAGTAAATTCCTAGTAAGATTTCTGCTTTCCTGACTGAGGAAACTGTTTGAGTGTTGGGGGCTTTTTTTAGTTGTGTGTTTTTTTTCAAGTAACAAGCAGTTCATACGAAAAGAACACATCAAAAATCCACCAACCAATAAGTGAGTTTCTTGTGGTATGGATTCTTTTGTAGGTACTTTCTTACTTTCTACCTTTACTGTGAATAACATAACCATCAGCAGTACTCCTTAGCTTAACCTATATGTTTTCCTTAATCTATGTATATCAGAGACTTGTGCTTTCTAAAGAAATAGTATTCACGAAATGGTGGGCCCCAACCTGGAACTTTCCTCTTTGAAGAGACTTCTCTCTTTTTCTTTATTGGCACTTCTAAGTAAACTTACAATGTTAGGAAAAGAGAGGGTAATATTTATATCTCCCTTCAGGATTCTTTTACCCTATTCCTTGTATCCTTTAATCATCAAATTAAACTGTTCTATGCATGTTCATGACATTTATTTTTAATGCCTATTTAGAAAGAGTTTTTTGTTCTTAGTTATCAAGTATGACCAGTCAGTCTGTATACAGATACTTTAGAATAGTTCTTTCACTACCACCACATCACCCCTAAAAGGCCCTGTTTAAAAATTATACAACCAGCTCAGCTGTTTTCTTCCTGGGTAATTCTGGCCATTGAGTGTCTACATCCCTTTGTTTACTAGATCTCTTTTTTGTTGAGCTACAAGATAATAATCTATTCTACATAAATTGCTTTTTAGTTAACAGAAAAGATGAGTACTAACAGTTAGTACTAATTCGTGATTTATGCTGTCAACACTGAATACATAAATTAATGTTGTATTTTATTTGTTTCAGAAGTTCCTAATGGTAGCATTAATCAATGATACTGAGGGGAAAATGTATCCTTGCTTTAAGAGCATAGACTTTGGTTCCAAACCACGTATCAGTATATGAAAAAGCAAGCTGCCCAACCTGTGCTTCAGTTTATCCATAAAAGGAGGAAAACTAAGTAGAGAGAGTTACCCCAAAGAGATAGACAGTGTCCAGATCGTATAGGACCAAATAATAGAAAAATGTATGTATGTCTGAAATACAAAAATAAAACCCCTTGGTGCAATTAATATTCCAAAAAAGTGAATGACAGGAAAGTGAAACAGGCTTGGATGAGAGTGGGCATCAGTAGGATGGGGAGGGCTTAACAAAGAGAGTAAATGAGAATGAATATGATTGAAGTAGTTTATTTGTATGTATGAAAACAGAACAACAAAACCAGATGAAATTGCTTTATGAAAGGAGCCTGGGATGGAGAAAGTGATAGGTTGATCAGGGTACAGTGTATACAAGTATGGAAACCCCCTATGGGACCATTGTTTACTTTTTTATTCTGTATTTATTTATTGTCGGTTGTGAGGCTTGAACTCTGGGCCTGGACGCTATCCTGAGCTCTTCAGCTCAGGGATAGCACCACTTCCAGTTTTCTGGTGTTAATTGGAAATGAGTCTCATGGACTTTCCTGCCCGGGCTGGCTTTGAAGTGTGATCCTCAGATTTCAGTCTCCTGTGTAGCTAGGATTACAGGCGTGAGTCACCAGCGCCCAGCTATGTTTACTAAGAAAGGAAAATGTGTGTCTATCCAATGGGTAGGGGGTATAAGTTATTGCCAGGTAATAATTATCAAACTGCACTACAGGAGAACTCCAGTATTCCATGTGTTAGAGGTAATTATTTAAGACCAAGTATTGATTACTACCTTCTGTCCCATTAACAAAAATAAGGTTATCAAATGAGCTTTTGACTTTTTTTAGATCTTTGGTTCCCATTATTGCCTGTCTTCTGTGCTCCAATAGTAGTAAATCAGTTAATGGAGAAAAATGAAAATCATTTGGCACCATTTGTTTTAAAGCTTCCATTTTGTGTACGTGCCAGTCCTGGGTCTTGAACTCGGGGTCTAGGCTCTGTCCCTGAGGTTTTTTGCTCAAGGCTAGTGCTCTACCACCTGATCTGCAGCTCCACTTTCAGCTTTTTGGTGGTTAATTGGAGATGATTCTTACAAACTTTTCTGCTGACAGGCTTCAAACTGTGTTCCTCAGATCTCAGCCTTCAGAGTAGATACGATTACAGGCATGAGCCACTGACATCCTATGAGAGCTTCTATTTTAAAATATTAGTCAATTGGTGGAATCTTTAACACTTAAAGATTAAAAGAAACTTGAAGGCTATAGAAGTGGGAAATTGTGCAGCTGTTCTCAAGTTTAGATACACCTAGCCAACAAAATAAAAATGGAGGAATTAGGAGTATAAGATGGTGGAATGCTTCCTTAGCATTTATGAGGCCCTGGGTTTAGTCCCTAGCCCTGGTGAGTGAATGAATGAATGAATGCTAGAACTCATGGTAACAGGATTGAACTACTTTATTTTAAAAAGGAAAGTTAAGCTATATGATTAATATTTTTATTTTTTGTTACCTTGATGCGTGATACAGTAATTTGGATTATATGAAGTGATAATAGGCTGAACGTAGCTCATTGGTAGAATACTTGCCTCAAATACCCTAGTTCCTGGGCCCAAGCCCTAGCACAACAACACACACACACACACACACACACACACACACACACACGTGCACGCGCGCACACACACAACTATACATACACAAAGTATTGTGTGGTATATTGCAAAGATTTTTTCCCATTAAAGTAATAGCATATACAATCTGAGCTGATTTAACAAAAAAAACTTAATTTTCCTAATATGTAATATTATTATAATACTAGAATAGTAGTGATGTACCCTACCCCTGTTATTTGTCATTACTTAAAATGGTTTGTGGGTTTCAACTTTGTTTTGAAACAGCATCTTGTTATTTGCCCCAGACTGGCCTTGAACTGGCCTCCTACCTCAGCCTGAGATTATAGGTATGCATCACCACGCCCTGCATAAAGTGGTAGTAATCAAATAGTCTTTTGCTCTTGAGGTATTCCTTTAATCCTTAGGCCTCACAGTTCTTCATAGATGGTTATTATTTTTTTATGGTTCTTCTGGAACTGATGGCAGAGAATCATCTAAGCCTTGTAAAAATTTGGAATAAAATAATTAAAGTTTGGTTTCTTAGTACCTAGCCACTTTCTGGAACTATTTAAGACGTTTAAAGAGATGAAAAAGACCAGTAACTTTTTTTTCCTTTCAGGGGCAAGTTATGTAAAATAGGCGTATTTTTTTTTTTAACCTTAACTGGACACTTGATTCTTTTGTTTAATTTCCAGAATGCCTGGTCTAAGTTGTAGATTTTATCAACACAAATTTCCTGAGGTGGAAGATGTAGTGATGGTGAATGTCAGGTCCATTGCTGAAATGGGGGCTTATGTCAGCTTGCTGGAATACAACAACATTGAAGGCATGATTCTTCTTAGTGAATTATCCAGAAGACGTATCCGTTCTATAAATAAACTCATCCGAATTGGTAGGAATGAATGTGTAGTTGTTATTAGAGTGGACAAAGAAAAAGGTAAGTGAGGAAAAATACCTTAAAATGTGTACATTTTTAATGTAATTATAAAAATACACTATAGGCTGGTATATAGCTCACACCTATGATACTAGCTACTTAGTAGGCTGAGATCTGAGGATCAGCTTTCTATGCTAGCCCAGGCAGAAAAGCCCCCATGAGACTCTTATCTTCAATTAGACACCAGAAAACCAGAAATGGTACTGTGGCTCAAAGTGGTAGAGCCCTAGCCTTGAGCAAAAAGCTGAAGGACAGTACCCAGACCCAGAGTTCAAGCCCCATGACTCACCTCCACCCACCCACCCCCAAAAAAGTACTGATTTAAAAGCATTTGTTTTTAGGAAAGTCCGTGAGACTCTTATCTCCAATAAAGCACAAGAAAACCAGAAGTGGCACTGTGGCTCAAGCGGTAGAGCGTGATTCTATACTTTTTGTTAAGAAAAGGATGCTTGTTAGCCATCTAATAAAACTTTTTAAATTACACATAGACGAATTTTTATAAAATGAGTATGTCGCAGGGTTACTTTGTGTGTGGGTGCTGCCTGCCTGCCCGCCCATCCTGGGGCTTGAACTCAAAGCCTGGGTGCTGTTCCTGAACTTTTTTGCTCAATGCTACTGCTCTACCATTTGAACCATAGCCCATATATTTTGCTGCCCAATGTAGCTTCAAATCCTGAATAGCTAGAATTACAGTTATGAGTCACCTCTGTCCTATATGGACTACTTTTGGGGGATCAGATAACTTGATTCTTTTTTTTTTTTTTTTCTTTTTTGTCTCTAGAGTTTCTAAGGATGTTGGTAAATGACTCAGTAATCACCAACAGAAAATACAGATAGTAAATCAGAGTATTAGTTTATTCATCCACATTGGTAGATATATTAGATGACTTTTCTTGAATTAAGCTAAATTAACTGATTGGAAGTGGAGCTTTGGCTCAAAGTGGTAGAACACTAGCCTTGAGCAAAAGAGCTCAGGGACAGTACCCAGGCCCTGAGTTTAACCCAAGACCAACAAAAATAAATAAATAATAAAAGTTAGATTATAGTGCTGTTGCATTAATATTCACTTTTTATTTAGTAAGTGCCTTTGTCTTAGATCTCATATATATATCATTACTATGAACAGGGTTTCCCCTCCTCTTTTTTTTTGGTCCTGGGCCCTGAACTCTGGGCCTGGCGGCTGTTCCTCAACTCTTCAGCTCAAGGCTAGTGGTCTACCACGTGAGCCACAGCACCACTTCAGCTTTTTCTGCTTATGTGGTGCTGAGGAATTGAGCCCAGGGCCTCATGCGTGCAAGGTAAGCACTCTACCACTGAGCCACCTTCCCAGCCCACGATGTTTTTTTATAAATACAATTTACAATACTGTTGTACAAAATGTACAAGTAGGTTTTGGTTTAGGCAGTCTCACTGTAATTTATAAGGTATTAAGTTTCAGTAACTAATTATTGTCAAGCTTGAACAACTATATTATCAGTGACCTTTATTGGACTTGTCTTTCTGGATCTCCTCAGCCATCCAGTGTACTGATAGTTTCTTCTATGTTATATTTTATAAATACTGACACTTCATAATTTTTTATTATAACTTTGTATTTCATATAAAATTAACGTTTTAATTTGACTAGTCACCCACCCAAAATGATTTAACTACTTGGAAGACTTGACACTTGTTTTAACTTACATGAGTCTTACGTCTTACCTTGACACTTGTTTTAACTTACATGAGTCTTACATCTTACATCACTTACTATTTAAGTGACCTTAAATAGTGTCTTACCTGGTTTTTATTCTCTTACATAAAACCTATATAGTCAGATTTATCTTCAGCTGCAGTCAAAATTAGATGGAAAGTTAATACTTTGATAAGTATAAAAGATGCATGTAAAACTCAAGAAACAGTTAAAATTGAAACTGGCTAAATACATGAGTTTTGGAGTGTTTTGGGGGGTACTTTCTTTGGTCGGTTGTAGGAGTTGAACTTTAAACTCAGGGCCCAGATCCTGTCCCCTCTGAGCCCCTCTGTGTTCAAAGCTAGTGCTCTACCACTTGAGCCAGAGCACCACTTCTGGTTTTTGAGTGGCTAATTGGAGATAAGAGTCTCACTGCGACTTTACTGCCCAGGCTGGCTTTGAATTGAGATCCTCAGATCTCAGTCTCCTGAGTAACTAAGATTAACAGGCCTGACCCACTAGTACCTGGCAATTCATGCTCACATGAGCACACACACACACACACACGTACACACGTGTGCACGCGACAGGGGCTCTTTTTCATTGTAAAGATGCTGTACAGAGGCGTTATAGTTACATCAATAAGGTAATGAATAGTTACCCCCTCCTTTGTTCTTCTACTATCCCTTCCCTTCCCCACCTCCCTTACCTCCCCCCCAAGATTTCCTACATAGTGTCTTGTGAGTATCATTGTTGCAATGGATCAGCCTGTGTCTGTTTTTTAATACAGAATGAACTCTGAATGTTCTGTTATGGACTGTTCCAGGGTAAAATAAGAAAAATGAAAATACAAAAGAGCTGTAGAAAGGATGTTTTCTGTATAAAAAAAGAGATTAGATCCAATTGGACAGAACTTAAACACAGCAGCTATAAAACTTGAACATGAATAAAAAAATTTTTTTAATTCTGCAAAAATTTCCGTCAGTCCCTGAACAACTGATAATACAGTGTGGCCTCCAAGCAGTCCAAAAAGATGAAAAACTTAGGATTGCATTTTTTTTTTTAAACTCTGGACCTGGGCTCTATCCCTGAACTCTTCAGCTCAAGGTGAGCGCTCTACCACTTGAGCCATAGTGCCACTTCCAGTTTTTCTGGTGGTTTATTGGAGAGAAGAGTCTGATGGACTTTCCTGCCTTGGCTGGCTTTGAACTGTGATCCTCAGATCTAAGCCTCCTGGGTAGCTGGGATTACAGGCGTGAGTCACCAGCACCCAATTAGGATTGCAATTATTTTTTCCCACCTTAGGAATCAAAAGTACTGAGTTGAGACTGCTGTCTCATTTTTTAAAAAAATATTCTTGTCTAGCCCTGTGCATAGATAAGAGGAGGGTTGTGATTAAAAGCCAACCCCAGGCTGAAAATAACCTAAAGCAATAAGAACCTCAAGTTGGTTTGGTAGAACCATTACCTAGCAAGCCTAAGGCCCTGAGTTCAAACCCCAGTTATCACCAAGAAGAAAAAGTAATAATCTCCAGAGAAATATGTAGAAATCTAGAGCCTCTGCCAAGTATCACTCAATGTTTTAGATGCATACAAAACTGCTAAACTAAATTTTAAGTATGGACAGCTACTCGGAAGGAAGAGATTAGGAAAATAGAGGGCCAGCCTGGGCATCATGTTCACAAGACCTAACCTCAAAAGCTGGATATGGTGGAATGAGCCTGTCATCCCAGCTATAGTTGAAGGGGAAGTAGGAGGAATTTGGTCCAGACTGACCAGGGCAAAAAGTGAGACAGTAATTGGAAAAAAAAAAAGGATTGGGCATGTTTATGGCTCAAGTAGTACAGTGTTTGACAAGCAAGGACAGAGGGTGGTAGCTCAGTGTTTGTAGCTCAGAATCAATTCTTGCCTAATATTTAGAGTCCTGGATTCTGATCTTAGCACCTCAGAGTAAGAAGAAAAGATATTTAAATCCAGCAGTAAAAGGCTAGTAAAGCATGAACAAGTAAGAGTATGTGAAATTCCAGTTTGGTTGGAGAATCAAAGTTCTGTATATGTACTCACTTGCAATGAATTGATTATTAACAAAAATGTAAAAGCAACTGAGTAGAAAAAGAGGTGGTCGTGAGGCTTGAACTCAGTGGCCTGGGGGCTATACCTGAGCATTTTCAAACTCAAAGACTAGCGCTCTACTACTATAAGCCACAGGACTACTTCCAGCTTTTTGGAAGTAAATTAGAGATAAGAGACACATTGACTTTCCTGCCAAGGCTGGCTTTGAACCATGATCCTCATTCATCTTAGCCTCCTAGTAGCTAGGATTACAGGCATGAGCCACTGGCTTCATCGTATATTTCATGTAATGTTAGTGATGAATACTTAACAAGCTTGCCAAATACTTGATTTGGTTATGAAATTAACCTCAGTAATAGGCTAGACCTGAACATTGATTTTTCTTTTTTTCCAAAAATGTTCTTATATAGGATATATTGATTTGTCAAAAAGAAGAGTCTCTCCAGAAGAAGCAATCAAATGTGAAGACAAATTCACAAAATCTAAAACTGTAAGTTGACTTTTAAGATTACAAAACCTCTATTTTTTTTTTTATATGTTCACTTTCCAATTGTGTGTTAAATGGAACTCTGTTTGGAAGACTGAATCTCAAAATGTAAAGAGCTACATATTCTGTCTCAGTATCACTACCTTAAAGCATTACTCATGATCTAATATTCTCAAATGAGTATGAGAAGGTAATGTTTTAAGCCGGGTGCTGTTGGCTCACGCCCGTAATCCTAGCTACTCAGAAGGCTGAGATCTGAGGGTCACGGTTCAAAGCCAGCCCGGGCAGGAAAGGCTGAGTGGCGCTGTGGCTCAAGTGGTAGAGCTCTGGCCTTGCACTGAAGAGCATAGGGACAGTGCCCAAGCCTGGATTTCAAGCTCCATAACCTACCAAAAAAAAAAAAAGAAGGTAATGTTTTAAAACCATCTTATGTTGAATTAGCTGATTTCAGCTGACTTCTTTAGCTTTTTAATCTGATTGGTTGATTGTGCTGCTGGGGATCAAACCCAACAGCTCATGCATGCTACCTACCACTGAACTACATATTCAGCCTTTTTAAATTTTTTGAAATAGGGTCTCGATATTGTTGCTCAGCCTGGCCTTGAACTTCAATAGGCTCAGCTGATCCTCCTGCCTCAGCCTCCTCTCATCCCCCTAAGTATTTAGGATTACAGACTTGTGTCAGCTTATTTTTTACTGGGATATCATAACACATAGTTTTTGTCTTCCAACTTTTTCAAAAATAAGAGTTTGTAAAATGTTGAATCCAAAGGTCTCTTTATGTTGGTAGTGATGGTTGGTTGCCTGGTTCTGTCTTTATTTGTTGTTTTTTTTTTTTTTTGTCGGCCGTGGGGCTTGAACTCTGGGCCTGGGCGCTGTCCCTCAGCTCTTCAGCTCAAGGCGAGCGCTCTACCACTTGAGCTACAGCGCCACTTCCAGTTTTCTGGTGGTTTATTGGAGATAGGAGTCTCACGGTCTCTCCTGCCCGGGCTGGCTTTGAACCGTGATCCTCAGATCTCAGCCTCCTGAGTAGCTAGGATTACAGGCGTGAGCCACCAGTGCGCCCGGCTGGTTCTGTCTTTAGTACTTGACCATTTATATTGTGTGCTTATATATATTTAATCCTATGCAGAAATTTCCTACATTAGGAAGTGATACTAGTATCTTCCTTTCACAAATGGGGAAACAAATTCAAACATTTTCATTTGTCCCATTATCAAGATTTGAGCCTGATCTCAGGATCCTAAATTATATATTCTATTTGTTGTACAAGCTTGAGTTAATTATTGGGAGGAAACAGACATTTCTCTGGATCTCTTGTTTTGGAATTGAATTCTTGGCTCTGTTCTAGGTATATAGCATACTTCGCCATGTTGCTGAGGTTTTAGAATACACCAAGGATGAGCAGCTGGAAAGCCTGTTTCAGAGGACTGCCTGGGTCTTTGATGACAAGTACAAGAGGCCTGGATATGGTGCCTATGATGCATTTAAGCATGCAGTCTCGTAAGAATATCTCTTCGTTTCCATTTTGATATCTCAGCAGTTGGGTCTAGCTCAGAGATTGATAGTCTTTCAGTCACACAACATCCTTGTATTAAATGCTTACCAAACAGAAATATTTCAGTAAGACTCATAATGTAGGCTCGTCCTATGTGTTGTCTATGTAGATATAATTTACATAGACTACAATATATATTACATAATACTATAATTATGTAGTTGTATAACTCGTAGTTTTATCTCATACTCCCTTATACATTTTCATTTCCTAGTTTTGCTATCCTAGATGACTTAACTAACCCTGTTTCCTTTGCCACAATTTCTTTAACCTTCAGACCATGCCACTTTAGCTAGTCTTTCATGTGGCCTCCCTTCAGTCCTTTTTGTTTCCAGGATTTGCTTGCCTCTAAAACTTGTAATTCATACACTGTTTTTGTTTTGAGTTTTTTGGTCTTGTTTTTTCCATAATCTATCCTCATAGCTTCTTTGTATTAGTCCTACTGTATTTCTTCTTAAATTCTTGTGTATTAGGTTCTGGTTCTAAACCGATCTCTTTCCAGTTGTCTTTTCACCCTCTCTTGGCTTTCTTATCCAACACAGACATATCATGAGCCATCATTTCAAAACTTTCTTGCCAATATCATGAATTTTTCCGTTTTTCCTTCTGTTACATCCAGCCTTGGATCAGTGCTCCTGCCTTCTCTGCACTTATAGACTACTGGCTGCCACTAGGAAAAAAAATGAGTCCTACAGGTTGGTGCAAGTGCCTGTTCACAGTCTTCCAACCTCAACTGGGCCTTCACTACTACCCTACATTCTCTCTGATTCTGGTCAGTTCTTCTATTTTTATAGTGTCTTCTTCAGAACTTCTTAGTGCTCTTCCTCAGAATCATTCTACCATCTTCTATAGTCTTAGCTGTTGTGCTCACTGCATATTTAATTTTACAAAAATAAATAAAAGTCATTACACGAGTCATTACTCATTACTTCCATCCATCTGTCAGTTACTCCCTTTCTTGGACAGCCTTTCCCTTTATTGGATTTGCTTCATCACCATAAATATTACATTCTCTGGTTTACTCCATTTATACTAAAAAACTCCTTTTCAACCTCTCGACTTTTCTCATGTAGCAAGACTTGTGTCCTCTGCTTTTAGCTCCAATTCTCAGTGCTTTTTATCTCTGCTTCTTCCCATCCCACTCTTTACTGAATGTTCATGCTTCATGAGCAGCCTTACCGCTAGACTGAGGTTACTTTCTAACCCTTGGGCCGCCAAGAACTACTGGACCCCTCTAACCCTCAGGGGCAAACAGCCCCTCAGTTATAAGAGCCCCTTCATAACAATACCCCTTCCATTTGACCTCATATGACCTTGTGCATGCATGTGTTATTATGAAAGATAGGAATAGCAATAACTAACATAATCCTAACAACTTGTAGGCTAAGTTATTATCTTTTTTTTTTTTTTTTTACAGTTAAAGGAAATTGAAGCAGAGATTAAGTAATTTGTTCTAGGTCACACAGGTAGAAAACTAATGTTCAAACCTAGGTTTTCTGGCTCTAGAGTTGGTGTTATTAACCATTAAGCACTGTTTTATCCTTCTATATCCCTTGGTACTTTTTTCATTCCTTGTCTTTTTTTGTAATGCTGGAGGTGGTGCTTGCCAGTCAGTTATTCTGTCCCTGAGTTACACCCCTAATCCAGTCAATATGCTTCCTAACTTAACTCATGTTCATGCTTAGCCCCAGTTTACCTTTTCTGTTAGATTGTCTCTAGGACCCCTCCATTGTCACTAAGTCTTAGTATGTTTTATTCGCTGTCCCTTAACATGTCATCATTCATGTAATAGCTGTCCAAATTTCATGCTGTTTCTTTACCACTTTTTTTTTTAAACCTTCCTGGGGCTTGAACTATGGGCTCCATTGGACACTGTCCCTGAGCTCTTTTTGCTCAAGGCTAGCAAACTACCACTTGAGCCACATTACCACTTCTGGTAATTGAATATAAGTCTTACGGACTTTCCTGCCTGGGCTGGCTTTTGAACCGCAATCCTCAGATCTCAGCCTCCTGAGTAAGATTACAGGCATGAGCTGGATGCCTTTGCCACGTTTTTAATTCAACAAATCAGAAGTTATTAGTGTGTATCACTGTCATTTATGTTTTAATGGTTTTATTATATACATGCTTAGCATCTCTAACCCAATACAAAATGAATCTGAAAGGTTTTGAGGACTAACAATATTTAACCACAGTGGAAAATTTTATCACTGACCTCCTATGACAGGAGGTTTTTAGTAAACTAAAAACACTTACAAATAAATTGCTTTTACTGTATGAGAAGAAGATGTATATGAAACATAGTTTTTGTATTTAGACTTAGATCCCACCATGGTACCTTGTTCTGTATATGTAAATATTCCAAAATCTGAAAAAGTCCAAAGTTCTTGTCTAAAGCACTTCCTACAACCTGTCAATCCATAGACCCATGTATGGAATAATTGGTGCACTTAACATTTTAGTCCATTGTTGTAACTTTCTGTAGTTTGCATTTTGCCCTAGAAGGCTGTCTAAGTAGGATTTTTAAAAATTCATAGATAAGCACCCATTTCATCCATACTAATTTCTAGAAAGCATTTCATTTTGAGAATATGCTTTATTCTCCCTGTAACTAGAGCAAAAAGGGTAGGGGCATGACTTAAGCGGTAGAGCACTTGCTTAGCAAACGTAAGGCACTTGAGTTCAAACTTGGTACCATCCAATTTTCAAACCATGCTGTGATTAATATCATTATATATCTACATTTGTTTTGGAAGTTTCTAAGATGTATACCTAAGAATGGAATTATTGGATTCATACTATGTATAAATACATATAATGTAAACATTTCTTTATGTGTCTAAATACGCATAGAGTTTCAACTTGACTACATATTTGCTAGACAAGAGCTCTATTACTGAGCCATGCCTCCAGTTATTTTTACACTAGTTATTTTATTGCTTCCTACCAGATCCATGCCTATTTTTCACTTCCCACCATGGCTGGGATGACAGGAGTGTACAACCATTCCCAGCTGTTTTTATGGAGATAGTCTGGTAGACTTTCCTGTCTCAATCCTACCAATGTTAGCCTCTCACATGGGTAGGATGACAGATGCTCATCTTGCACCTAGATATTGATTGATACTCAGTTCTACCTTTGCTTGTTATGGTGCTACCATTCCATTAATCATTCTTTCCTCTCCCCATACTTTTCATTTGTTCAGTTTACAAGTTATTGACCAAGATCCTCCCTGGTGCTACTTTCTGAATGAAGTCCTTTAATACCACTAAATGTCAAAAGTACCTCTTTTCTCCTAATGCTCATAGAGGTACTTTTGTTTTTATGCATTTTTTACTGTGTTTTTGTAACTTTAGCTCATGGAGGTACTTTTGTTTTTATGCATTTTTTACTGTGTTTTTGTAACTTTAAAGAGACTGCTAGTTATATACAAATGCTTAATTATAGAAGAATTTTAGATGTATTGGGAAATATTGAATTGCTTATTTTATTCAAATGGCTAAATTTTTCTTTTTGATAATCAATTGAGTTTTTTATTTGTTGTATACTGAGCGTTTTTTCTTTTGCACTATCTTATTACTTAAAACAGGTACTGTAAGATACACTTTTTTTCATTTTATACATTTGGATACTGGAGCCTAGCATACTTAAAATTTTGTACAAAGCTAAGATTTGGGTTCTAATTTTGAAACCAGAGCCTAGTACTTTCTTGTTCTTTGCATTCTCTAGAATGTGTGTTTAGTTTCCCAATTACTTCTTTAACCTTAGCTTTTTGTTTGTTTGTTTTAATCAGAGATCCGTCCATTTTGGATAGCTTAGATTTGAATGAAGATGAACGTGAAGTACTCATTAACAATATTAATAGGCGTTTGACCCCACAGGCTGTCAAAATTCGAGCAGGTAAGTTCTAAAATGACTTTAAAAATATTTGTATACATCCAAAAAAAAAAAAAGGTCAAGGAATGAGACTTCTCAAAACAGTGCTATGTCGACAATACTTTTTTTTTTTTTCTTTTTTAGTCAGTCTCTGTTGCCCAGGTTGGTCTCCTAAGTGCTATGTTTATAGATGTGCACCACCAAACACAGCCATAATCTAATACTTTTAATTGTGAAAATGAGTAGCAGTAGGGTGAAGAAAACTTTTATAAATATTTGAGTACTAGTATATCTGCCACCTCTGATTCTTTTAAAACTTTGATCCCCCTCTCCCCCATTGTGGGCCTTGAACTCAGGGCCTAGGCACTGTCCCTGAGCCTCTGTGCTCAAGCCTAGCACGCTACCACTTGAGCCATCGTACCACTTCCGGTTTTTGATGGTTACTTGGAGATAAGAGTCTCACAGGGACTTTACTGCCCAGGCTGGCTTTGAACTATGATCCTCAGGTCTCAGCCTCCTGAGTAGCTAGGATTATAGGCATGAGCCACCAGCACCTGACTTGTGTCATCTTTTTTTTCTTTTTTTGGTTGGTCATGGAGCCTGAACTCTGGGCCTGGGTGCTGTTCCTCAGCTCTTCAGCTCAGGGCTAGTGCTCTACCACTTGAGCCACTGCATCACTTCTGGCTTTTTCTGCTTATATGGTGCTAAGGAATTGAACCCAGGGCCTCACGCATGCAAGGCAAATCCTCTACCACTGAGCCACCTTCCCAGCCCCTTGTGTCATCTTTTTAATGTTTATACTTTTAGATATTGAAGTGGCTTGCTATGGTTATGAAGGCATTGATGCTGTAAAAGAAGCCCTGAGAGCAGGCTTGAATTGTTCTACGGAAACTATGCCCATTAAGGTAAGTCATCAGTTTTGTCTATCCCCACTGAAATAACTAAACAAATCAGAACCTCTTTTTTTTTTTTTTCTTTTTTTCTTTTTGTCCTAGGGATTGAATCCAGGACTACTGAGCTGTGCTCCTAATCTTTCTTGTCTTGTCCTTTTTCTTTAACTGTGTTGGGTTGAAGGTACGGTTCAGTGGTAGAATGCTTACCTGGTATATTGATAGCCCAGTGATGGATGCCCAACACTGTAAAAACAAGATTATTTCATAACAAAAGTAGTTTTTGCTATTACAATTGAGATGTTAAGTGTCCTCTTGGTTCTTCTGGAGCATATTTGCAACTATATGGTGGCTTTGTTGTTGTTGCTCCTGTTGTGGTTTCAGTAGATGGGGATTTCTTTTCTGAGTGGGGCCAGTTGTGCCCAAAACTGCTACAGTGCCTTGAACTGGGTAACATTCTCTCACCAATACACACAACTTTATGAGGTTAAAAATCTGCATCCTTCATTAGCAGAAAAATTAAACTGAACATTACACAGAATCTCCTAGTAGGAATTCTTCCATGAGTTTATGCTCATGATGACTAGGTTAGCCACCAAATATTATAATTCTTCATATTCTGTATAGCAGTAGACTGTATTGTATAGGATTGGATTGTTAGACTCTTATTTTACTGTATTTACAAACTTCCAAATTGCTGACCTATAGAATTGGAAAATGAGTTTTGGGCGGTGATTTGTTAATGCAACAGATTAATAACATCCTACTAGTTCTGTAGGTATAGTTATAATTGAATTTTTGTCTGTCTCCTTTAGATTAATCTAATAGCTCCTCCAAGGTATGTAATGACTACAACAACTCTGGAGAGAACAGAAGGCCTTTCTGTCCTCAATCAAGCTATGGCTGTTATCAAAGAAAAGATTGAGGAGAAGCGAGGAGTGTTCAATGTTCAAATGGAGGTAAGCTCGTCAGTGCCTTTGTGCTTAAAATACTTGATCACATTACATATCATATTAGAAATCAACTAAATATTATAATCGGTTCCAAGGACTACTAAAAGGAAGAAATCTAGCAGCATTAGAATACCACTGCAGAATGGGTACTCAGGCCTACAGACTTTGATAGCATTAAGGTCCTATCCATCTGTCCTTTACACACCCAAGAAAATTAGAAATAAATTTGTTAGACATGGTGGTACATACCTGTAGACTCAGCACTTGGGAAACTGAGGTACAACTGTTAACAGACTTGAGGACAGCCGTGGCTATATAATGAGAGCCCTGTGTCAAGAAAACAAAACAAAACAAAAAAGACAACTAGCTGGACACCAATGACATGCACCTGTTTTTTGTTTTGTTTTGTTTTGGTCAATCGTGGGACCTGAACTCTTGGCCTGGGTACTGTCCCTCAGCTCTTCAACTCAAGACTAGCACTCTATCACTAAAGCCACAGCGCCACTCTGGCTTTTTCTGCTTATGTGGTGCTGAGGAATTGAACCCAGGGCCTCATGCGTGCAAGGCAAGCACTACCACTGAGCCACCTTTCCCCAGCTGTAATCTTAGCTACTCTGGTGACTGAGACCTAGAGGCTCTTGCTTCAAGGCAGCTGAGATAAAAATTAACTCCATGAGACTCCTTCCTTCAGTTAACCAACGAAAGTGCTAGACTGATGGCATGGCTCAAGTGGTAAAACACAAGAATGCTGGCAATAGCTTGTGCCAGATGATTATATAAACTTGAACGCAATAACAACGTTTTTTTTAAAATATTGTATGATAGACTTTTCCTTAGATTAATTTTCCAATCCAGGAAATTCTTTGGTGCCTGTTTGTTTCAGTTTTAATATTCCACTTAAAACAGAATTTTATGCTTTTAGTTAACTCTTGCCTTTTAAGAGAGCTCCTGCTCTACATCTGAGAAACTAAGGAAAAACCAACCAAGAGTTGAGGCCCTGGGTTCAAGCCCCACTACCAGTAAGAAAAAAACATAAGTTGTTATGGTTCCCTCATCTCAAGAATAATAATATATGGGCAGGTGCTAGTGGCTCACACCTGTAATCATAGCTGCACAGGAGGCTGAGATCTGAGGATTGTGGTTCGAAGCCAGCAGGGACAGGAAGATCTGTGAGACTCTTGTCTCCATTTAACCACCAGAAAATTGGAAGTGGTGCTGTGATTCAAAGTAGTAGAGCAAAGTAGTAGAGCCTGGAGCAAAAAGAGTTCAGGGACAGTACCCAGGCCCCGAGTTCAAGCCCTACAACCAACACACCAGAAAAAATAATAATACATGTATAAATACTTATATAGTAAGTTCTTCCCTGAAGAAAAATATTTTGAGCCCAAAGATGCATTTACTTTTCAGACATTTTGGTATTAAAAATTATAATTACTATTTCTAATACTTTTAGCTTCTAAAGATGACAAAAATATTGTTCCATTTTAATATATACTGTGTGGTTCTCATAAATTCTACTTTTAACTGATGGGTTCATTAGTGGTAAATCAGCAGTTGAATTAGGAATGACAGAGTATTTAAGAATTTAAGTTAAAATATTAACCTGGTTAACAACTTTATTCTGAAATTATACCTGTTTCCACAGCCCAAAGTGGTCACAGATACAGATGAGACTGAACTTGCAAGGCAGCTGGAACGACTGGAGAGAGAAAATGCAGAAGTGGATGGAGATGATGATGCAGAAGAAATGGAAGCCAAAGCTGAAGATTAACTTTGTGGGAAGCAAAGTCCAATTTAAGGAACACGAAGCAGCCCCTCCTAGCTGCAAACTCTAGACTTGAAAGTTTTCCAGTATTGAAAACTTCAAAGCTGAATATTTCTTTTTTCCAAGTATTTAAATGTTCCAACAGACCAGAACATCAAATGCCCTCCTAAATGTCAGCTGTTTTCATACAGTAGCTCCGTCACACTAAGTATGTTTTAAGCACATGGCTTAATTTGACTAGAGACAAATAGTTAAGCTTAAAACAGTCCTGAAATTAGGCTTGTGATTTCTATCAATTTTATATGTCTCAAAATTGGCACTCTTTGTAGGTCGGTGCCTCTATGAGATTTACCAGGGCACCCAAAACAGCAATCCCAAACTTTCTATATAGAATGTATTCCAGCAAACGTCAAATAAATTTCTGGAATATTTAACAATAGGCTTCTTCCTTTGTGTCACCACTTAAAAGCTTTCCTAATGCTATGACTAATTCTGTTGTCTTTGTAGTTAGGTGTACAAACCAGAATAGGTGGCCGAAGGACATTATACAACAAAGCCTTGCAAAGGAGATCTTAGAAAACATAATTTTACTTTATCCACAGTGATACTGACCCTTTAAGAAAAAGTTGTAAGCTGCAATTAAAGAATTACATTGTTACGTGGCCATTTTTTACATATTGGAAACTGATGACAACTTGTGGTTTGAGAGCATTTACCACACTGAGTTCTTGTTGGTATACTATTGTCTTGAATTTATAGTTTAAAATGATTTTTTTAAAAAAAAAAAAAGTTTTAAGAAAGTGCTACTTTGTTTTGTCAATTTAAATGTCACCCAACTTTTGGGGTTTTTTTTCCTCCTTTACTGTAGGTGAGTGCCACTTAGATTAACAACAGGGATCTAACATAGCACATTCTTTTATGTTTGTGGTTTTTTGTTGTTTTTGGGTTTTTTTTGTCGGTCGTGGGGCTTGAACTCTGGGCCTGAACGCTGTCCCTCAGCTCGTCAGTTCATGCTCTATTGCTTGAGCTACAGTGCCATTTCTGGTTTTCTGGTGGTTTATTGGAGATAAGAGTTTCAGGGACTTTCCTACCTGGGCTGGCTTTGAACCCCGATCCTCAGATCTCAGCCTCAATAGCTAGGATTACAGGCGTGAACCACAGGGTTTTTTGTTTTTTGGGTCCAGTCGTGGGGCTTGAACTCTGGGCCTGGGCGCTGTCCCTCAGCTCTTCAGCTCAAGGGTAGCCCTCTACCACTTGAGCCACAGCGCCACTTCTGGCTTTTTTCTTTTTGCTTATGTGGTGCTGAGGAATGGAACCCAGGGCCTTAGGCATGCAAGGCAAGCACTCTACCACTGAGCCACCTTCCCAGCCCATGTTTGTGTTATTTTTTATCTTCAAGAACTAGTTATTTTTAGGGTATATGTATAAAATAATTTCACAGGTAACATCCCTGCTTACATACTTTGGCATTCTTATCTTCATACATTAATCAACAAGGATATCTTGAGGTACGAGTTACATAATTTCATTATTAGCCTTAGGTATTCAAACCTGTTGGTTAAACTTAACTCACCCTACTTAACTAGAGATAGTTCAGTAGTAACAGTACTGGAGCCATTTTAAAGTGGAGGAGGAGACTAGGAAGTAGTGTGTAGGAGCAATAATTTGTGCTTATCTATGGGTTTATTTAGTTTAACAGCCTGTACTAGCTTTCTAATCCAGAGGTACAACTTCAGATGGTCTATTTCCAAGATGGAGCCACAATTGTTAACCAGCATGTCACATTAGATTTAGAGAATATAGATACACTCAAGATTGGCATACCAGAAAACATTTATAATACTTGTGGTACCAAGATGGAATGGTGGTTCACACCTGTAATCCCATCCCCTCAGCAGGCTAAGGAAGGAGGATTGCAAGTTTGAGGCCTGCAGGGACAACATATGAAACCCTGTACAAAAAATGGCTAGACTCATTGGTAGAGCACTTGCCAGGCATGACCCAAGCCCCAGTACTGCAAAAGGAGAAAATGTGTTAAGGGACTCCTTTGCTGTATGTATGCAAGGGAATTAATTTTTTCCACATTTACTGAAAACACAACAGCTATAACTTGGAAACTTCAGTAGTCCCTGTAGTGACTGATTTTTTTTTTATTGCATGTAGGTTTTTTGACTCAGTTATACAACAGTTTTGTAAATTAATGGTCCTAACCAGACCAATATTTTACTGATTATTAAAAAAAAAGCTAAATTTAAAACATTAACCTTGCTGCCCTGAAAAAAACAAGATACCCAGGATACACACCCAGCTTTGAATAACATGAACATAAATGGCAGAATTAAACAGCTTACTAAATCTTGGTCCCCCTACCAAAGCCTTTTATTAAAAATGTTGACTATTTCATATTCTATCCCTTGCCTTTGATTAAGGTCAAGTGATGACCAACTCAAAATTAGTAATAGCTCAGGATACATAAGTTCATTGAAAATGACACAATACGGGCTTTCAAACAGCTTAAAACAAGCCAATTCTTACATGAATAATGTTCCAAGCATTTGATGGGAGCTACAGAGACATGCTAGTTACTGCATCACACTAATACTTTTCTACTCAAATGTCACTCCATTGTTTTTCTCTTATTTTTTGTCGGTCATGGGGCTTGAACTCAGCCTGGGCACTGTTCCTGAGCTCTTCGGCTCAAGGCAAGCGCTCTACTGCTTGAGCCACAGTACCACTTCCAGTTTTCTTCTGATTGGTTAATTGAAGATAAGAGTCTCAGAGTTTCCTGCCCAGGCTGGCTTTGAACCACAGTCTTCAGATCTCAGCCTCCTGAGTAGCTAGGATTACAGGCATGAGCCACCAGCACCCAGTGTCCAACCATTCTTGACCTAGCTACTACTTTTATGCCAAGAGCAAAACTAAAATGGGTAAGGATTTTTAAAAGCTAACTTGTTAACAGCTTACCAACTTCACTGATTTGCTTCAAACTAATGACTGCCATCTATTTCCCAGGCCTGATCTCTGTCCTGTACAAAGGTGAGGGACAGTTGTGCCCATTTGGAGGGAGGAAACAAACTAAAAGTAGTTTAATTCAGATAAGCACCTGTCGGGATTCAAAAACCAATAAAAGTAATTCCAGAGGCATGAGGGCTTGATAAAATGCCAAACAGAAAGTAGTGCTTTGAAGTTCTCTTAAAACATTAGGAATAGAGAAACATTAGCTTGGGATTTCTGCTCACTCAGGTTCAGAAATTAGACATTAAGAGGAGAGAGCTCAATTGTTTTAAGAGAACAAAGCTTTGCCTAAGTACTTTGAAAGGATCCACTCCCTTTAAATGTAGCTATGTATTTTATCTATTCATTTAAGTCCAAGTACTTGTACTTGGCAAGAAGACTGGCTATAATAGCTTGTGCCAGATGACTGTATAAACTTGAAAACAATAAAAATGTTTTTTTAAAAATATTCTATGGTAGACTTTTCACTAGATTAACCTCCCAATCAAGGAAATTCCTTGGTGCTATTTATTTCAGTTTTAATATTCATTATAAAACCAGAATTTTATGCTCCTATTTAACTCTTGGGATTTACATGTTTGCTTTCTGGTTTTTTTTGGCTGTGGGGCTTGCACTCTGCCTGGGTGCTGTCCCTCAGCTCTTAGCTCAAAGTGAGCGCTGTATCGTTTCAGTCACACTTCCAGTTTTCTAGTGGTTTATTGGAGATGAGTTTCATGGCTTTTCCTGTCTAGGCTGGCTTTGAACCGTGATCCTCAGATCTCAGCCTCCTGAGTAGCTAGGATTACGGGCCTGAGCCACAGATGCCCGGCCATGTTTGCCTGTTAAGAAAACTCCTGCTCTAAATCTATCTACATCTCATGGGAAACTTTCTACTGGCCCTAAGGCTTGAACCCAGGGTCTGCTCATGGCTAGTACTCTACCCCTTGAACCATAGCTCCACTTCCAGCTTTTTTAGTAGTTAAGAGCCTCACAGACTTCTGGGCTGGCTTTGAACACCAATCCTTAGACCTCAGTAGCTAGGATTACAAGCATAAGCTACCAGTGCCCAACTGCTTGAGGTTTTGTTTTGTTTTCTAGGTCAGGTCGTGGGGTCTGAACTCTGGGTCTGGGTGCTGTCCCTCAGCTCTTCAGCTCAAGGCTAGTACTCTACCACTTGAGCCACAGCGCCACCTCCGGCTTTTTTCTTTTTGCTTATGTGGTGCTGAGGAATGGAACCCAGGGCCTCATGCATGCAAGGCAAGCGCTCTACCACTGAGCCACCTTCCCAGCCCTGCTTGAGGTTTTATTTGGCTTTGTATGACAAGTTTCTCTGGGTGAATCCATGACTTCCTTTCCACATCTCATAGTACTTATGCAAGCTTTTTTTCTAAAACAAAACAATGTCCTCTCTTCAAAGTTTTGCCAGCAGCCCAACTTTTAAGATGATGTCTTGGTGACAGATTACCTGAAATATTTCTGTAGCCAGCTTGCATACTACACAGAGCTATAGGGATTTGGGAAATGTTTGAAAACTACAGACTTTGTACAGCCAGTTATAACAGCCAGAAATGTTGATTCTTATTCATTCCAAAGGAGATAGGAGTTGTCGGTATAATTTAAGAGACAGCCACCTTGACACTATTTTTATTTAATATTACAGCTTGGCTAGTGTTAGTGTTCCAACAAAGTAATGCCTAAGGACACAACTGTCCTGGTGGGCAAGAATCAAGATGCAACACCTAATGGCTGTTTCAGCTTTCCAGGTTGATAATGGGTAGATGGGGAAGGAAATGGCACCACCGCAGCTTGTCATCTGAGCAACATCTTGAGCAGTCTCCAAAACAATGCAAATGTACAGTGTTAACATCTTTTCCATTGCTAGAAATCAAACCCAGCATCTCAGGCCTGTTAGGCCCTCTACCACTGAGCCACATCCCCAGTCCTGAATCGCAGTCAACAATATGCATTCTCCAGGAAATCCGTGTCTGCATTCTGTTGTAGGAGGGAGTTGGGAGGACTCCTGGTCCTACTCAGGTTCTTCCTTGTCAGGTTAACTTTTTGATAGCTTCAATCCACTCTGCTCGTTCAGTCTTGCTGCTGGCCTGGATGTAATAGTGTGTATCATCCTTAGTAATCACTTTGAAGAGATTTCCTTGGACATTTCCTTTAACCCCTATGCAGAAAAATAAAAGTGATTAAATATCTACTTTCGGCTGGAAGCAGCTGAAACTAGACAAAAACAATGAAGTGCTCTGCTTCTTACATACAAATTGGGTAGAATCTGGCATCCCACCAGAGATAATGCCTTCCTCTTCTCCCTCCCCAGCAATTTAAGGCTTCCACATTGCTGGACAGGACAGCCTCTTAACTTACCTTGAGCTAGCCACAAACTTACAGTTGTAGTTGAAGAGTGATATGTTCAAAGTAAGCATTTTGTGTTTGGTTTCAAATTACTTGACACCAATTTCCACATCCCTAAGATGGGGAAGAATACTGTCTTCCTACCACCGCTGATGATTGTGAAATTAGTATGATAACACATGAAAGTGTTAGTTCATGTTAAAGCACTATGTAAGTCTTAACTGTTAAGTGGAAGCTTTATGGGCCACCTGTGTAGAAATGATGGGGAAACAAGGCTTACTCAGTTACATTCTTTAAGCATAACCTT